ATACCTTCTAAGTATCCTATAAGGTGCAATCAGTAACGCTCCTCGTATTGCAAATATACTTTACACGCAGTTATTTTCAACATATATTACTACTTACACCTTAACAATTTGAAAAGATTGAAGCGAAGAACACCGCGTTATTGGAGCTGGCTATGACATGCCGAAGTCGAACAATCGAGAAGGAGGTATCTTGTTTTAATTTTATACTGCTATAAGCACTTCGCTAGGATAAGCAATCTACATAAAGGCCTTTATATCGTACCGATATTTAGTTGACTCTGTTTAAAGCCGGGATTTCAACGGTACCTCCATCCTTCCGTTAACATCTGATTGCTTTGCCCTTCAAAAAGTGACAAAGTTTACAACGGTTTACAAGAAGAGCGATACCAGTTAAGGCCATGACAGAACAGAAGCAAGAAATAATCAAAAAAGTGGTGCTTGATATTTACTTATGTCCAAATAACGACATAAACAAACTGAGATGAGCTTTCAAAGGAAAGATGTTACTAAAATGGTCTTTGAAAGAGGTTATTGACGCATGCGCTGTAGGCCATTAACCCTATTCAAACAGGGGGCGCTCTCACTCTCGACCCCAGAGCTCTCCCGCGCATGACGGCCAGGGAGGACGAGCTCTGGGGAAACCTGGAACAAGATTGTCTCTGATTGGTTTTAGCAGAAAAACAGTGAATAAAAGTGTTTCTGATTGGTCCTTTAAAGTTCGCACGATAGCGGGTGAACGTCCAGAGTGTCTGGCGTGTGAGCGGGTTTTTCCCTAGAAATGTTGAAGTAAACACGCCCTGCCAATTCTTGATTTCAGCGATTCCAAAACAACATTTGCACGACTAATTAGGCAGAATAAGTTGATTCCCAAATTTTCAAATAAAATACCTTAGCTACTTATCGAAAATTGACTAAGAAAAAGATTTGAATGTGAAAAATAAAATAAAAATACACCAACGTCTTTGCCTCCTATAATTTAAGAAGCATGACGCATTACTGATTTTTCTTCGACTTCTACGTTGTCGTATTCACACGGAGTAGCCGAGTATAAATAAAAACTTTTGCTTCATGTCATAAATTGCCCCAAAACAGACTTGCAAGAGAAAAGTAAACAGAAAAAGTAAGTCGTGTCCTAAAGTGATGCGCGAAGAGTGCGATTACATATTTATAGTTGTCTTCTTTTCCCACGATATCGCATTTCAAAGTAGTTTACTGAAGCGTTTAATATTCATGAACAAACCTAAAGAAAAGGACGCTAAATTCATATTTTGGAAAGTTTTATTGGAATTTTGATACGTTTATACTAAGAAGCCATTCGGGTTTCATTTACCGCCTCGTGAACTAGTCCAGGCAAATATTTAATCAACTGTTAAGCATATGCAAATTTTCAACACTCAAATCTGTGATTGAGAACGTTTAACGGTATTTTCTCAGCGGCTACAACAAGAGCCTTGGAAACCTGAAAATTCTTCAAGGGCTCCATTAATTTCTTCAGATACGTCTAATTCCGAAACTGCATAAAGCTTTCGCGATGAAGAAGATATAAAAGAAGCAAAAAGGTTTGGTTGGATGAAAGAGCATGCGCTGTGAGGCCCAAATAGCCAGATTTTGGCTACGCCCGCGCAGAGTTTCCCAGAGCTTACGCGCGCGTTCCCAAACCCGTAAAAACTGGGGTTGAGAATGGAGGCGCTCTTCGCTTAATAGTTGAATATTTTCAGAACCTTTCAAACTTTGACAGCCAAAATTAAGGGCTTTCGCTAATATGTATCTGGAAATATTATAAAGTCCTCGTGAAACTTAACGTACGTCAACATTGAAATTACCATGGCAACCGAGTTTTGACGGCCATATTTTTTAAATTTGCTTTTTTTCTATAGAAAATATTTTGTTTCTGTTTTTTTTATTTAATTAATTTATTACACTTAATTTAGTATTATCTTATCAAATTTATTATAACTGAAAATGTAATCCAGGATTTTTGTGACCAACTTGAGGGAAAAGTATGAATCATGACCAAATGGTAGTTGCTGGGTTCAATTTTCAACAATGTTCAGTTCTCTGGGAATTTCATATTTTGCAGATTTTTTGTTTCCTGAGCATCCTTTTATACAGAGTACAAATCAAATTTTCCAACTCCATTACCTTGATTTATACGGGTTTGGAATACCATGGAATAAGATGGAATACATTTAATTAATTCAAAATGGCGGATGGTTCCAGTGCCTTGATCCTTTAATAAATGACGTCATCATAACTTCACTGCAATTGATGTGTTATCCAACTTTCTAATTTTATCTAGACTGCAAAACAGTCCGTATTTTTGCGTATTCAGGTACGCGCGAGCAGTCAAACAAAAGGTCCGGAACAAGGCTGAAAACAAAATCAAAATCAGTAAAGCAGCCTTGTTCCAGACCTTTTGTTTGACTGCTCGCGTGACCTGAATACGCAAAAATACGGACTGTTTTGCAGTCTAAATTTTATCAGACACCTTACTATTTAGGTATTTTTTTCTCTTTATTGCCACTTTGAGTGGCATTTGGATTCTGCCAGTATATTTTTTAACAATATGACGTCATTTTGGAGTAAGATTACTTCATTACACAATCTAGTTGTACCCAGATGAAAAAAATGATGAGTAAGTTATTTTTTGTAGTTTCAGTGGCCGTAACAAGAGCGGTATTGAAGTTATAAAGAGGGACCTCCGAAACCCTTTCCTACCGTCGGTCGCTAGAACAATAAAAGGCGCCGTCTGAATAGAAAGGGTTACACTCCAATCATCAAAAATTTCGCACAGACTACGAAGTGCAATTCAACATTATAATTAGATATATTATAATAGACTAAATTGTGGAAGAAATTATACCTGACCAGAGAAAAGTCAAAAGACTAGTCTATTTATAGACTGAATTTGTGCCAAAGAAAACAGTTTATTGCTTCTTTGTCTTGTGCTTGTCCAAAAATTAAAGTACTAAGCTGGTCGTTTTCTATTGATTTTTTCACTTCAAATTCAAATTTTCTATCATGCACTCTCAAATCTCAAAATTTCCCCTTTTCCGCTTAATTTTTAATCGCCCCATCCCCAAGTTTTTTTTATTAATAAACGCGCTGAAGACAAACCTAATATTTACTTTGGGAGTGGAAAGCTAGGAACGAACGCAAATATATCGATGCACCTTCATATGAATGAAATCTTTAATCTCTAATCTCTAAGTAATAGGAGGTTGCTATGTTCCCTTGTTCAATTTATTACTATCTATAAATTGTATCTACAATCATGGAAAAAAGTCTTAGGACATTTGCATTTCTGGGACGTTTTCCAGTTCACTCAGGCCCAACCCCTCCCCTCACCCCACAAACAAAGTTGAACGCTCGCGACTTTCAACTTTGTATAGGGTAGGGGAAGGGAGAACTGCAAGAAAATTTCGAAAAAAGATGCACTGTTTTATGAGAAAGCCAGTAACGACAGAAAAATATAAATAGTGCATTACCATTCTCAAGGACTTTTGTCCATGATTGTAGTTAAAGATAATTTGTTATCTACCAGAGTTTATCTACAGCCATTTCTTTCACTTTTGATATGGTTGGACGTATTTTGCTTAAGATAATTTTTGGAATTGTCTCGTTTAGAGAATTATAAGCCTGCCAGGGAGAATTACAAGCTCTTTTTTCTGCTCCGATAAATTAAAGCTCAAACCTGTTAAGTATAATACGATAAATTATGGCCTTAGGTCCGGGCTTTTACAGTGCATGTACCTCTATTGTAGAATGGGTTACGAGTAATTTAAAAGCTTGCTTTTGAATTGTAGCCATTTTCTTTCTTGTAATTATTTTTAATTTTTACATTTATACTGTAAATTAGGATATTTGAAATTTTTAAACTTAATATGTAATCGCTTAGAAATGTTTTTTTTAAGGCGCTATATAAATGCCATTTTCTTGGCTATCTTTTCCGTGTGGATAACAAAGTATCCAGGACTTGTGAAAAGTCTAACATCATTGGGATCAAAAGAACTGTCCGTGATAGAGAGGTAGTCCCTTTCATAAACTGTGTCCGTAAGGCAACTGCAATACTGTGCCCATATGTTTTGTTATTGGGCTGCCTGTGCTCTGTGTTTTACGACACGCGAACTCACCCGCTGTCCGAATGTCTGTATATTTCTAAGTCTTTTAATGGGAATATCTTGTCCTAAATGCATAAATAGGCCCAATAGACACCAACCTTGTGGATTTTGTAAATCCTTTTTCTGACTGTGGATCTTGTGCTGTTTATCCCATAACACACGGACTCGTACCCAACCCCCGCGCTCAGAAAGATGTAAGAAGGATTTTTAAGCTCTTTACACTTTTAATGGCCTTTAACAGGACAGATACTAACTCTTTTGGGGTGCTTTGCTTAACTCTGTTTTTAGGCATGTCGAGGAGGAAAAGGTAAACATGGACAACCCGATACAACTTGCAGAAAGGATTGCAGTAACTGCCTTGCACATAAAGCTTACAAACACAGTGATTTCAAAACAGCCCGAGATTACTTCGAATTGGCTTTGAATGAAGCTAAGGAGGCTGGAAACAAAGCTACTAAAGGATATAGATACATCAACCTTGGCAGTGTTTATTACTCACTCGGCGATTTAAAGGAAGCAAAGGAGTTTTGTCAACTGGGTCTAGGAATCGCACAAGAGACTGGAAACAGAGATTGTGAAGGAAGTGGATACAACAACCTTGGCGAAGTTTATAGGTCACTCGGTGATATCAAGAAAGCAATGGAGTTTTATCGGCTGTGTCTAGGAATCGCACAAGAGACTGGAAACAGAGATTATGAAGGAGAGGGATACAACAGCCTTGGCTGTGTTTATAACTCACTCGGCGATCCCAAGAAAGCAATGGAGTGTTGTCAGCTGGGTCTAGAAATAGCACAAGAGACTGGAAACAGAGATTCTGAAGGAAGTGGATACAACAACCTTGGCTGTGTTTATAGCTCACTCGGCGATCCCAAGAAAGCAATGGAGTTTTATCGGCTGTGTCTAGGAATCGCACAAGAGACTGGAAACAGAGATTCTGAAGGAAGTGGATACAACAACCTTGGCGAAGTTTATAGGTCACTCGGTGATATCAAGAAAGCAATGGAGTTTTTTCGGCTCGGTCTAGGAATCGCAAAAGAGACTGGACACAGAAATTCTGAAGGTACTGGATATAACAACCTTGGAGCTGTTTATCATTCTCTCGGCGATTTCAAGAAAGCAATGGAGTTTTATGGGCTGGGTCTAGGAATCGCAAAAGAGACTGGAGACAGAGAATCTGAAGGTACTGGATGTATCAACCTTGGCTCTGCTTATCATTCTCTCGGTGATATAAAAAAGGCAATGGAGTTTTGTCAGCTGGGTCTAGGAATCGCACAAGACACTGGAAACCGAAATTCACAAGGATGTGCATATATCAACCTTGGCGGTGTCTATCATTCTCTCGGTGATCTCGAGAAAGCAACGGAATCTTATCGGCTGGGTCTAAAAATCGCAAAAGAGACTGGAAACCGAAATTTAGAAGGATATGCATATAACAACCTTGGCGGTGTCTATGGCTTTCTCTGTGATCTCGAGAAAGCAATGGAGGCTTATCGTCTGGGTCTAAAAATCGCAAAAGAGACTGGAAACCGAAATTTAGAAGGATATGCATATAACAACCTTGGCGATTTCTATGAGTCTCTCGGTGATTTCAAGAAAGCAATTGACTTTTATCAGCTGGGTCTAGGAATCGCAAAAGGGACTGGAGACAGAGAGCTTAAAAGACATGTATATAGCAACCTTGCCGGAAGTTATTATTGTTTTGGCGATATTTTTAAAGCCGAGGAGTTTGGTAAATCTTGTGTAAAGCTGGTCGAGAAAATGAGGGTTCTTCTTCAAGGCAAAGACGCGTGGAAAATACACGTCCGGGATGAAAGTGATTTTAGCTTCAGAATTTTATGGAGACTTCAGTTACAAAAAGGCAAGACTCTTGAAGCGCTTTTTACAGCAGAGACAGGGCGAGCACAAGCTCTTATGGATCTCATGAAATCGCAATTTGGCGTCAGAAAAACAATTCGCAATTCGTCAAAACCGCAAATGGATCTAACAATTTCTAGTATTTCAAGTCATATTACGTCACCGACGCTATTTCTGGCGGAAGATACAAATATTAATGCAGTGTATTTCTGGTTAATGCTTAATGGACAGCAATTTACCTTTTTTTAAAAGGAAGTCAGTGATGACTTGACTTCATTGACTCACCAGGCATACGAAGAGATTGGTGTCAGCCGTGGCGTGAAGTGCAAGAATTACTCCTTAGATGAGCCAGAAGGTAAAGAAATTGAAATCTTCTCTGAAAGGGGTACGGAATTGACGTCACAGCAAGGCGAGGGTGGTACTTTAAGAACATTGTATGACATGGTTATAGCTCCTTTTTCACACTTAATAGAAGCTGATGAACTCATCATTGTCCCTGATCGTTCATCATTTTTTATTCCTTATGCTGCCCTTATGGACCAGCATTCCAGGCATTTGTGTGAAAAGCTGAGAATTCGATTGGCTCCATCACTAACAAGCTTGAGGCTGCTGGCAGAGTGTCCGCAAGGCCGCCATAGTACATCTGGTGCACTGCTTGTTGGTAATCCGTGGTTGAAGACTGTACTCATCAAAAACAGCAGACCATTTAAACAGCTCCCGGGTGCTGAGAAAGAAGTAAAAATGATTGGACAGATTCTTAACATTGAGCCTCTCACTGGTAAGAACGCTACGAAAGATCAAGTTTTAAGCAGGCTTCCCTCAGTTTCTTTAGTACACATGGCAACTCATGGTTGTGCAAAAACCGGTGAAATTTATTTGTCTCCTAATCCCGCTAGTATGGAGAAACACGAAGAGAAAGACTCACTTTTGACGATGGCGGAGGTGTTAGATACACAATTACACGCCAAGCTTGTTGTCTTAAGCTGCTGCCACACTGCACGAGGGGAGATCAAAGCCGAAGGCGTGGTTGGAATGGCACGTGCCTTTTTAGGAGCCGGTGCACGCTCTGTTATTGCGTCACTGTGGGAGCTTGACGACGAAGCTACTCTGGAGTTTATGAGACAATTTTACGAACATTTGTTAGCAGGGAAAAGTGCAAGTAAGTCGCTTCATCACGCCATGAAAAGGATGCGGGAACTTGAACAATTTAATGCCGTGAAGTACTGGGCACCATTCGTGCTGATTGGGGATGACGTGACATTGAATTTTGGCCAATGAAAGGTGAGGCTCTCAGTAGTGTAAGCTAAAGTAGAAAAGTAATCACATGTGAAGGTTTGTAAACGAAAGGGCGGGTTTTAACCCTTGTCTCTTAGATTTCTTACTGGTTTCTGATCGTTGATTTGCAGACCCCAAAGTACAACTGAGCAATAAATAAAGGAAAGTTAAATAATAGTCTAATCCAGAGATAAAAAACGCAGGGGAGACTGAGAAGAGCCAACCTGATGCAAAATGTCCAACACACGAGGTTATTATTTCCATCCACAGGCTAAAATTAAATCGACAGACCCTGTCATCCAGGATCCCAAATCCCTATTCCAGACCCTAGAGTACACGATTTCAGACCAAAAGGGTGAAGACCTTTGTAGCTTCCAAGAGAGTATTCGTTTGTATTGACAAACATAACGCGGGCATAGTTCAATAAGGGAGTAAATCAGTGCCTCCACCACCACGGCAAAAATTTCCACTTGGTCATAGCAAACATACTCACTTCTTTAGGTTGAAAAATGGTAGAAACTACTAAGCTTTTTTTTTCTCTGTTTCTGTCTTGTTCCACTGCAGAGCTAACACTAAGATAGATGGACTTCTGATATTTGGAACCGACAAGCCTGTTCTGACGGACAGGTCGACCTGAACACAAGTACTGAGACTTCAACAAGTGAAGAAAACTCGTTTGGCAAGAGCTTCTGGGAGAAGATCCAGTCATTGTTGGAGGAACCATTTATTGAGTTCAAGTTATGAAATGGGAGGCTTATGCATGAACTTAAAACATTAGGATAGATACTCAACTACTGACCATAACATCCAGTTCTAAGTTTTCAGATTAATTTATTGGTTTAAAAGTATACAACAAAAATCCATTTCACAGGAGAGCTGCTGATCTGTGCTGTAAGATGCACTTTTCAGTGTTAGCCAAAGGGCTAAGAGTACATCATTATCCTACGTGTAAAAATGTTAGTCAAAAGACTCAAAATTTCCTTAATATACCCCAAACTAAAAGAGATAAAGTCTTATACTGTGTGCTGAAAATCATTTGGTCATGCCCATGAAGTGTCTTGTTTCCCAACTCTCTTTCGTAAACAACCTAGTCTCAGGGCTCTTCCCATTTTCTAAGATAAACGCTGTTACGAGAGATTTCCGCATGCCCCCAAACCTCGCCGACCTTGATATTTAGAGGCGATTGCTTGTAAATGAATTTTCTTCAAATGGAGAAATATAACTCCTTTTATGTAATTTTGAGTTAGTCTTCATTGATGTTTTATAACGTACAGATACATTTTTCGCCAACTGGAAAGGCTAGAGCATGGCAACCAGTCTTGTGACCGAATTTTACTGAACTAAAGACTGTCAACCCTTCCCCTTTAACGCAAACACCGTCAGAACGACGAGTATATTCGGGCCCTGCCCTAGGGGCCCGTTCCTCGAAAGTCCCTATAGTTAATGAGCGCGAAGAGTTGTTGTTGTTTACATTAAAGATTAACGTGTCAATTAGTTTTGTAGATGATATGATAAAACTATCGGTTAAGAAAACAACATGGACTGGTTTGTTAGCTAGGACTCGTGCCCGAAAAGTTAAGGGGACTTTCGAGAAACGGGCCCCAGGTTAAACGCCGCAATTCACATGCATGAGCCGAACTCAATTACTGTACTTCGGTTATCATGCGACGCACCCTGAATTTTCTAATTTGATTCAGTCAAGTTGACACACTAATCATAACCGAAAAAATGCGGTAAATGGGTTAGGCTCGGCTAACTTAAAGTACGAAGGGCGTTTGATCATGCCACCACGCCTTAGTTCCTGAATAACGAGAGACCGCAATGGCGGGGTGCAAAAGGAATCATCAGAACCGTTATAAGTCCAGTCTTGCTGAGCGACAGCGTTACGAAAACTACCTCGATGAAAATTTTTGAAATTTCTTTAAGAAATGGTTGAATGCTCTTTTGAAGCAATAGTGGGAGATACGTTGTTTGGATCAACGAGATTAAGAACACCAAAACTGTAAAATATTCCCGTTGTTATTTAATGGACTTCATAGAAATGTGGAACCTTTCATGGACCGACAATCTGTATTTTAATTTTAAGGGAATTTTCATGGCATTTCCATGATATTTTGATGGAGTCATCAGAAACATTCCAGCAAGATTATCTTCAAGTTATCAATGAAAAACTGATGGAAAACCCGGCCATTTTTATATTATTGTTATTTTTTATTTTGCCACCTTACTATGACACAGTAATAAATTATAGAAATTCATTAGAATATCAAGACCTTGTGAATTTATCTTGGAGAAAATTAATTAATTATTGTTTTTCATTTCAATCGGAAAGCGAAGGATAGGGATGAATTAATTTTAAGACTGCTTTCTACATTCTCTTGATTAATCAATACACTGGAAAGGTTAATTATTAGCCTAACAGCCGACATTTGGCGACGCTACCACTGGTTTGCCCGCCAAATGACGTCTGAGAAACGAGCACAGATTGGTCGTGCCACGTGGGAAATTAATTTGATTAAACCAATCAGAAGCACCACCCAGATCTGGTTAGTGACGCGTCGTCAGTATGGAATTTCTGCGCTCGTTTCACAGACGTCATTTGGCCGGAAAACCAGTGGTAGCGTTGCCAAATGTCGGCTGTTTTCTCAGACTAAAGGTTAATAAAATACAAAAAAAGTTGTTCTTTCAGGGGCCATGACTTAAAGACCCCTTTTTGTTTTATAAGGGGCGATAGCACTGTTCGTTCTCCAAATGCAGACATACAATAAGGAGTTTTTTTTTCGAATGGAAAATCGTGCAGAGGAACTAAGATTGTTTTAATGCCAGTTTATTGATGTTAATTATTTAGATGAAATTAAATCTCAAATATAATCAATTGAAGTGTTGAGATCTTGCCTTCTTTCCTGACTGCAGTTCGTTTTCTTTCTCCGAAGCTATCGAGCTTAGTTCGGTTTCTATTGTTCTCAATAATTTGAACATGTTTTTTTCCCTCTCTTTAAATATTTTTTGTTTACGAAAAAATAACTTTCAGAAACCGGCGTCAAAGCATTGTCACCTGTGCAGTTTCTCTCTGTATAATTTATTTTACTTTAAACAAGCCACGAAAACCTCCGCTGTCCGGCGAAACACTGTACAATAACATTCGATTGAATGTAAACTCCTTAAAGTAGTGCGACAAAAACGTATTACAATAATGCGAATAGGGTTTGTTTGTCAGTCATGCAGGGGTACAAACGCTGTGACTAAATTGACTTAGCGGGAATACGGTTTCTATTGGCTGTTGTGACAATATGTGTTTCACGACTGATCGCAGTGCGGCGTTGTTAGCTCGGTCAACCTCGCTTTCCAATTTATTTTCATAATGATACGTTTTGTGAAGAGTGGTTGCATCGGCGGCTATGTTCATTACAGACGCAAAAAACTTGCGGTTGTCGCAATTTTAGTCACTGGCCTGTTTCTGCTTGTAAATTTCGAAAATGGCAGTGAGAGAATTTCCCGCCAGGAACAACTATCAGCAGTTAGAATAACAAGTGCTGAGGATGTGAAGGATAAATCAAATGGAAAACGCGACTTCGGCCGTAGAAATTTACCTTTAAACTATGACGACATAAAAGTTGACCACGTTTCAGATACTGCGCGCGAAACTACCAAAAAAAAGATGCACGCTTGTCCAAAACTCATAGAGAAGCCGAGATTTCGCGAGATTGTCCATGGAGTATTGGTGTACTCGCTTTGGTTTGATGATCGAAAATCTCAGCATTTTATACGAATTTTGTTGATGTCCTTGAAAAAAAGAACTCCATCGGTAACTTGTCTTTTTCAAAATGATTTAACGCAGAAGACTATTGCGGTTGAGGCCTCGTTCTATGAGCACAACGAAAATTACCAACGGCGTTTTGGAGGCTTTATGGCCTCCTGTGTTGTTCCAAAAACTCTTAACAGCGTTCCATGCTCGATGAATATTTCCGTCACCTTAACCGCTCAACCGGGCGAGAGTAACGCGATGGTCTTTCCAGTTGGTTCTATAGGTCAACTAAGCGGTGGTCAAGAGAACAGAATTCAAAAGAGATACGGCATTTGTATCCCTCCCGTCCACGGTGACGTTTTTGTTGGAAAAATAATTGAGTTTTTAGAACTCACGCAGATTTTGGGCGCTTCACATTTTACATTTTATGATTTATCAATGTCTAAGAGTGTGCGAAACGTCTTAAAGTATTATCAAGATCTAGGTTTAGTGAGTGTTTTTCGGTGGAATTTACCCTCGTACATTGGAAAGGACGATTTGCACTATTTTGGTCAACCATTGGCTATCTGGGACTGTTTATTCCGTTCAATGAGTCATCATGACTTTGTTGCGTTTCATGACTTGGATGAATTCATTGTACCCCTTCGCCATGAGAACATAACCGCATTGCTAGAGTATATTCATGAGGAACAACATTGCGGTCATTGCTTTGAAAGCGTTCTTTTTGATACGACATCAGAAGAGGACAGTTCTCATTTAATAACCCAGAGTGTTTTCCACCGAACAAGTCAAGTGACTCCATATTGGACCAAGTGCATCGTCGATCCGCGGAGAATTTTCGAGCAAGGAATACATCACATTAGCAAACCCATCGAAGAGTTTTACCTTGCAGATAAAGTGAACTGGAATTTGGCGCGTATTTTTCATTATAGAAAATGCCAGGATCCCAATGCTTTGTTTCAGCCGAGATGTTCCGCTTTCACAGTCGACAAAACCATGCAGAGATTTGGAGAAAAACTATCCTTCAATTTCAAACTAAGTATGAATATTATAACTGACCGCAAATCTAGAAAATAATTGCCTCAAAAAAATATGTTTGTGTTTGGTTTGTCACTTTTATTATGCTCTGAAATCAGTTTATTTTAGTTGCAAGATAATAACAAGGGTAGAAAAGACACAACTTGGTCTACATGTTGTAAATCGCCCCCTACAGCAAATAGCTTTCTTAACCCTGAGGGGATGTTCTACTTTTTATTGCGAAAATCGTAACTTTCCACTAAAAAAACCTATGGGCCCGTGTCTAAAAAGCTAACGTTAGTAAAAGTTCTGTGACGCATCTTTTGCTCGATAAGCAGATTTACTGCATGTCAAGAAATGAGTTGGCAATAAATCAGATCTTATTAGTTCTCATATAAACGCACCGCATGATAATCGGAAACTATGGTTCACATACAAATCCAGCTTCGTTTTCAGCGTTTGGTTTCCGTATTTGTTCCCGATAAGAATTTGGAACAATAGCAGGAATACTGATAAAATCGCAATTAGAAACCCAATTTTTAAAAATACTATTTTATGGAAGAGTCAGTGTATACCAAAACGTGCGCGATAATTTTCTCGTTTGATGTTATTGACTTTGAAAAAGATAAAATATTTATAGTGCAAGGTCTTTGTCATCTGTTGTTGCAAAACAGTTTTTGTATTTCAGCTGGCCGGCAACTGAAAATGACAACATTCGAAAACTTTTAATATGGGTACAATCAATAATACCGGACTTTATTTTGAGGTAAATCTGAAATGAAATGGAAAATAGTCACAGGAGTGTTCCAGTTTTTGTGTTTACCTAAAGTATCATCAAGATTGATCGATGCTGAAGCGGAGACTGAAAACTAATGTAAAGGGAGTTCGATTTCGTTTCTCTTTCAATTCGTTCTTCGTTGCCTCCGGGTATTTATTAATTTACTGTTTGATGAATATTTAGGTCCGTACAATACTTAAAAATTAAATTCAACACACTGGAACAAATCACGAAATATGTTCGTGATTGTGAACAAGTCGTAAACGACACGTGTATCATTGTATAAAACGCAGGCGAAAACGCTTGGCGTTGTATGAAAGGCAATGACATCATCGAAGTGAGCGTGAAAAAGAACTAAAATTGAATTCAGAAACGGCATCTTGGAGGTTTCTTTTGATCTATAATATACAATATATTTTGTTTAAAAAGGAAGTAAGGACATTTACGGTAAAGCTTAATTTGTGTTGCTAAATTTTATTTCCCTTAAAAAATAGATAACACATAAAAACAGACTGATCCGCAAAAAAATCTTATTCTAAAATTTAAACCCTCTGGCATTAATATTACGAAAAGAACTATGGAAAAAGCACTAGCCTCCGGTTTGTTGAATCCGTCCAAAATTTACGATTTATGCAAAGCTTAAGTCTACCTCGGGATATGAGGTATGTTCTTGAAGTGCAAACAAAACATGAAGGACGTACGGGTATTTGCCGACTGCCTAATACATTGAATTAAATAATGAAAAGGTCGGCGTCTGAATCAATTAGGAACGCCTGTTTCAATTTGGAACGGCTCAGCCATTCTTCCCACCTAGCCTAGCCCGGCCGGGAATTTCGATCGACTTTGGAACAGATTTGATTCAGACGCCGACCTTTTCATGTATCTGCGAACCAGATGCATAAGTTATTATAACGTGTTTTGTAAGCAGTTTGACCGAAATGAATATTTTTCTCCTTTGGAACTTAGTACGGCTGGAATTAAGATCGGCGTCTGAATCAATTCAGCGTCGGCCTGGTGATTCGAATTAGCCGAGTTTCGGCTAATGAAAAGTTCGGCGTCTGAACCAAGCCGTACAAAAGCAAAACCAAGAGCAGTGTGAAGAATTTCGTTTTTTTGATGATGAGTTCATTTCATTTCCTTTTACAGCTAGCACATTATTTTTTTGTCCTTAAATTGCGAACCAGAAATCGCTAGCCTGGAGTGCTTTACACTGAAAATACCACACGATTTTTAAATGGAAACAGCGGGGATGGGATCGAGTAGCCTGAGTCTCAGCCGTCGATCGGAGGTTGTTCGCGGCCCCTTCGCTTCTCTCCCTCTCTCGAGGGGGTTGAAAACAACCTCGGTTGTCTGAAAATCAGGCTAGGGTGGGAGAAGACAGATTGAAATAGGCTGAACGGCCGATTGAAAGATGATGCAAATATATTTAAATATTTGTCAAAATTACTCCCTTAGAAATGATTGCTTGGGGGAAGGAAACATCATGGTATTAACGCATGGAAATTGTGGCGTTGTTGTTGTTGTTTTTTTTTAGCATTTATTGTATGAGGCTTAGTATGATATGAAGACTTATGCAGAGTGGGTGTTACCGCCGGTTCAGCGGACACAGGCCTGCGTAGCTTTTCATAAAAGGCGTCCAGTCTGACAAAAGCCGAATCCAATGATTATTTCAGTTATCATATTCAAAATCAGTCTCCTAGCGTCAACACATGCAGGGGGTGCTTATCTCGATCTGTGTAAAGCAGTCCTGTCTTCATAACATTTATGTCTTTCTCGGCAGTTTCAGGATGGGTAGACTTTATCCGTCGGGTAGTATTTTTTAACTCTTGCCATGTCAGTTTAGGTAGAAGTTCGGTGTTTTCTTCTTTACAAAACGTGTGAAATCGTCGGTTATTTTTCGGTTAGCTCTCAGCAAAACAGCTGAGCTACCACTCATTCTGCTATCTCTTTTTTCACTGATTATCAGTGAAACTGACGTCAAATTGTACTGATATTGGTCAACGGTAACTGGTTATGAAGAATTAGCCGTCTCGTTAGGTTCCTCGCTATCCTCAAGGCGGCAGAATTCCCCAGAAGACACGAAGTTTGAATAATATTTACATCGATGATACTGACAGAAAATCGAAAATGTGACTGTCCGAGCATTAACGGTCACAAAAATTGTGTAAAAAGTCCAGGAGCTTCGTCCAGAACTTTCTTGGCCAAGCTGAGGCCCAGCTATTTTCAGCCGCCTTATGGCCTAAGGCAAGCCCCCCCCCTTTTTTTTTTTAAAAATATTGCTTCGCGGGTAAAATAACAGTATATAAAGGAAGAAACATTACATCTGTGATGTCACGAAAACTACGAAAGCGGGACAAAAAAAAAATTTCTCGAATGCATGGCTCCCCTACACCTCGGGTCTCTTTAGAACATGTTTAAACACATTGGCGAGTTAATGCCCATGAAGCCAATCATTCTCCTCTTGATGTTTTGCCAAAATAGTTGCTGTATCATGCTGCCGGTTCTAATTTAGCCTCGCCCCCCCCTCCCAAGGTTGCGTGGCAGACACTCTAAAGATCTCTAACTCTGCTGCATAGAGCTAAACTAATGAATGGTCTAGACGAAGCGTGAGCCGGCTGCAACACAGGCTACCCACTCCTGGACCTCCCGCTAAAATCGATGATCGTCTATTGGGATCAGTTAGTCTCCTCACAGCCGTTTTTAGTGTCGTCACGCAATACTCTTCCCCGCTTTTGTGGGGAGGAGTGTTGGATGACGATACTAGGAAACAGTCGTGAGTGAGATCGACTAACAGGGGCACCCAACGAGAATGTAGTTCAAAACCACTTAATAAACATAGCATTGTTAAACCTATTTTAGTATTTAAACGGTAAATATAGGCATATTTTTATCCCCTGAAAATTTTTCATATGTTTGGATTTCCTAGCTGAAAGTCTAGCGATCTGAAAATTATAGGATCAAAACTTAACTGTTCGAAAATTTCAGCAAAGAAAAAAGGCTCCCGAAAAACTCTAAGTGACCTTTTTAGGGTAAAAATCTGTTAAAAATGAGCATTTGTACCATTTTTTAGATGATCAAAAATCTTAGGAGAGGTAGGCAAGCAAGAAATTTTAAGACAAAAGTTCCGAAAATTCTAGATCTTAAAGCGTCTTCCGAACAGAGATTTTCCGAAAGTTGACGTTGGGTGACCGTGGGACTAATTGGGATGGGTGTCTTCTAACATGACTCCGAGGCTTTATGCACAAAATTACAAATTTTTTCACGACTCCATTCTCTCGCAATTTCCAGCAAAGAGTTGTGCATAAAGAAAACCAAACCAAATAAAGAAATGACCAGAAAGCCTCAGAGTCATTTCGGAATTTAAATCTATCGAAATCTAATAGAAGACGAAGTTCACTTTCTTTTTCAATGTCCTACATACTCTATGATTAGGAATAAATTTTACTATAAAGTCGAGACTGATCAATGAACTGATTAACTCCTCTAATTACTTTCTTATTGGGGTTCTGTTCTCTTGAAGAGACGGCTTACGATCGGGATACATTTGATTTTAGTCAAGGTGATGTGATCAAGAATCAACCAATGGCAGTCTCTGTTTAGTTGAGTGAAAGTCTAGGAACATAACAAATCATAATATTTCCTTCAAAATCGGCCTTGAACATATGTCCTCATATTGCCTTGCGCGAGCAGAGGTTTCTTTCTTGCATGGCTTTTAGCATTTACGAAGTCGTTCGCGTCGCTTTTCAGTCGCGTGGTTGCTTTGTCCGCATTTCAGCTCAAGAAATCCAGAATCCCGCTACCGATTGGAATCGGAATCCACGTTCCACAGACAAATAATCCGGAATCCAGTACCTGGAATCCGGAATCCTGAGCGTGGAACCCAGAATCCAATTCTTTCTTTGGTTACCTTACATGGGGCGAAACAGGGTTCTGTCTAGGATTTGTAGGGGATTCCAGGAATTAGACTCCAAGAAGATAAATACACTCTGAAATTCTCCGTAAAAGTCGACTTCACTGGGATTCCCATACAAATGTTCAAGGCCCTTTTTGAGATTACGCGATATATCAAGTTAATAATTTGAAATAATCCAACAGTTGTGAAGTGCTTGAATAACACCTCAAAATTCAATCTTGTCTACCTGGTAACTATTGAGCAGTTGAAGGGAAAAAGACAATAAAAAGAAAATGGTAGTACGAGCAGTAGCAAATACAAAGAACCACAAGCAAATTTTCAGTTTTGACGGCGAAAACGAAGATAACTCCTGGACGGGACACGCCCATGAGAAACATGATATAAATGGCCCTTACCACGTTAGTTTTGAAACCGCCATAGAGTTTCACGAACAGCTACTGCGAATTTCAGTTGACGCAATGGACAGAGCTGGAGAAGGTCGTGAGTATTGTAACCTGGGTAAAATTCATCATAGTTTTGGAAATTTTGAACGAGCCACAGAGTACCAGAACTTAACATCGCCAAGGAACTGGGCGACAGAGCTAGTGAAGGATGCGCATACAGCGATCTGGGAAACGCTTTTCGAAATCTTGGTGACTTTAAGCGTGCTATAGAATATCACAAACGGCATTTGACCATTGCTAAAAAGGCGACAAGATCGAAGAGGGAGTCGCTTATTGCAATCTGGGTAATGCATACCACAGTCTCGGTGATTACCAACAAGCTGAAGAGTATTAAAAGCGACACCTACGTATGGCTAAAGACTTGGGTGATAGGAATGGAGAGGGAAAGGCCTACTGCAATCTGGGCAATCTCTATCATATCATTGGTGCTTATAAACAAGCGGAAATGTTCCATAGAGATCATCTCAGCATCGCTAAAGAATTGGGTGACAGGATTGGTGAAGGAAATGCTTACGGTAATTTGGGAATTGTTTACAATAGTCTCGCTGACTTTGAACAGGCCATCGCATGCCATGAAAAACATTTAAGAGTTGCCAAAGAAATGGAGGACAGGACTGGAGAGGGACGCGCCTATTGTTGCCCTTCACCGGGATATGAAGTGCCTTCAAGACTCTGGTCAGTTCGGTGCCGTGAGGTACTGGGCTCCATTTGTTTTAATTGGTGATGATGTCACTCTTGAATTTGATTTAATAGAATAGGGAGTGTCGAACTGACTATGAACAGTCTTATGCAAGGGATATGACAACAAAGCCCTATTGTAAAAGATCAACAACGTTGCTGGAATCCAGAAATGCAAAAACAGAAAGCCAACCATTTAAACCGAGGTGTTTGCTTGACAGCCTGGAAAAAATTTCATCAAATGGCATTCCAGCTTACAGACGGTGCATTAATGGTGTACAGACGCAAGATGTACTGAATGTCGCGGAAGCTTTTATTGTCCTGCTTAGCTTCTCAGTGATCGATGTTAAAACTTTCGCATAACCTGATAAGGCGTAAAATAGCAGCAACGTTATGATTGCCAGCTTTTGCAATCACGGTAGCCTGCGAGCAAGCTCTCCTATTTGACTATTTGGCTGCTTTTCCTTTCTCCATCAGTCCCAGCGTGCCTATTTTTTTATTTTTGTTTTTATCGAACGGCGCAGCAGAAACTTCTGTGGAGGAGGGACCGAGGGAGGCCTTGCATGGCTACGCCCTAAACTACCGGTATTGCTCTGTGTGACAAGGGAAGTGAAGTCATGTCCTCGATCTTTTAATTTGTAAGGGAAGACCGTTTATGAAAATCAGCGAAACTAAAGCAAAAACAATGTGCAGCACTCTATGTTGAACTAAAGGTCTGATTATGAAAACCAGCGAAATATTAAAATCAAAAGCAAATGCGCTGCACTCTATGTTTAACAAGGTTTTGTAGTAGCCTGAATGTGTATATCCGTCGCCTCCCCTCAGGAAAAATAGCCCCTTTGCAGCCCAGTTAAAATTCATTGCCAACCTTACATGCGTCATTTCAGTCATCGCCGAAATAAACTGCATTCTCATCACGGGACTCATTTCCATACAATGAAAGTCGTCACGATTCTTATCCCCAGTTTCCACGGTCTTCGCTAAGAACGCGGGGCGGCCTACAAACTAGGTCCGACGAAAAAAAAAAAAACGACTGCATTTCAGGAGTCTCGCTCTGCTCAAGTAAGCGAGACTAATAAGGCTAAGTTCACATAATACCGGATGGCTTTTGCGCCGGTACGAAAACTGTACCGGATAAGGCTTCTGTTCACAAATAAAAATAGTAATTTATTTCGGCTAGATCATCTCTAACGGAGCGAGGCCGCGCCGCACAGATCTCTAAACGGATGTGTGTTCATACTACATCATGTCGGCACGAAAATTAACCCTTTAAGTCCCAATAGTGACCAACATCAATTTTCTCCTAACAATATCCATACAATGTCAAGAGATTGGGTTATAAGAATTAACAAAATGATTACCTAAGAGAAAATGCTTTGATCTTCTATCAAATTCTCTCAACTCATTCATGAAGGAAATGTATGGAGATCAGTTTGGAGAATTTGTATGTGGATATTGGGGCTTAAAGGGTTAAAGCTGTCCAGTATAGCGTGAACATAGCCTAAAGCTGAGCACAATGTAGATGGTTTTCATAGTGACGTCATCAAATTGTAAAGTCAAAATAGCGACGTTTTACGAATTCTTATTTACACTAGGTTGAAGATAAACGAAAAGTAAAACTTTGTGCAAGTTTCCATTCCTGTAGCATGTTTCATTTCGAAAATACAGCAATTTGAACTTTCGAGTTTTTACAGTGCGTGACACCAGAATAGGAATGCTGTCTCCAGTGTCTCGTTGAAAAAAAGCCTATTCTGACTACACTATCACGAAACATTCAATGTGAAATAGTTTATTGAGGAATGGTCAGTCAGTCATCCGACAACAACAATGTGTCGTAATAAAAAATGCTATTTAGAACGGTTTGCTTTTATCAACGATCCTGAAAATTGAACTACAAATGTAGCTTAATGGCCTTAGCAATATTACTAATATGAGTTCATTTTAGAAGCTCAAATTTTCGTCACGTGACTGATAATTGAGTTTTAACGGTCAAAATATTTACTCTAAAATGGGGAAAGGATAATGAAAGAGCAACAAGTTCTTTTAGGTACATTGTAGAGGCTATTAAAAAGGTTCTTATAAATTCGCCTTGTATGTGTGTTTACGTTGTATAGGAATCGGTAAATAAAGGGAAAAGGGTCACGTGACTTATTAGTTAGTTAAATAGCTAATAGGATAAATAACATTTCCTATCATACAAGGCTAATTTACGATTTACACTGTTTATGTAACATTTTGGTAGTGAAAATTCCTAAGGTTAAGGTTTGCAACCCTTCCCCGTTTAGGAAAACGTGTTTTGTGACGTCATTGACGAAGGGATGTCACGTGTTATTTGAAATCACGTTTTACGTGTTTTTTTCGTTGAGCCACATTCGTAGTTCACTATTCAGGTGCACTGACCGATGGAAACAAACCGTTCTAAATAGCATTTACTAAAAGATGCATATTTAATTAGGTAGTCATGCCTTAATTGGCCTGAGTTTGAACTAGAAGTCTGTTGGACCGTTACGAAGAGCAATTAAACTTTAGCCAGTCAAAAAAGACAAGAACCAATAACGGTAATTGCCTAAAAAAAAACAACAACAAAAAAAACACGTAATTGCTCTAACCCGGACACGGCTCAGTAAAAGTTCAAGCACAGTTGGCTTCATAACTATTCAAATTCACTTTAATCATGGTCAACTTTGCCAACTGGTTTGGATTTTTCCGCGGCTGTTATCGTTACGGGAGACGCAGAAAACGGGTGGTTTTCGCAATCTTAGTTTTCACTTGCCTGTGTTTTCCTTTGCTGTTTCAAACGTCCACGATGCAGCAAAAAAACCCGAAAATTTTTGTTCGTGACGTTGCTGAACACTCACACCGAGACCAAGAAGCAGTATCATTCATTGAAATAACAAGTGGTAAAAATACACCTAATACAAATGCAAGCACGGCTCTGGACCGTGATCGTGGAAACGTGGAAAAGGTTAACGACGTTTTCAAAGTACCAGAACCGTTGTTGGAAGGAAATACCGCATGTCCTAAAATCGCAAAAGAGCCTGGATTCCGCGACATTATCGAAGGAGCTGTGGTGTACTCGGTTTGGTTTGACGATCGAAAATCTCAGCATTTTATACGAATTTTGATGCTGACCTCGAAATGGAATCTACCCTCTATAACTTGTTTTTTCAAAAGCGTATTAAAACAAGAAACTTTTACTAGTAAAGCTTGGTTCTATGAGCATAACGAAAATCATGCCAACAGGCGCTTTGGAGCCTTTGTGGCTTCTTGTCCTGTTCCGCAAACTCTGAACAGCAAACCTTGCTTAGTGAATATCTCGGCAACAATAAAGTCTACTGAAAGAAAATTGAGTAACACGAAGGTCTTCCCAGTTCGTTATATTGGCCGACAAAGTGGAGACGAGAAGAGTAGAGTCCGAAGCAAATACGGCATTTGTATCCCTCCAGTCCACGGCGATGTCTCCGTTGAAAGAATAATCGAATTTCTAGAACTCGGGCAGATTTTGGGGGCTTCGCATTTTACATTTTACGACTTTGCAATGTCTGAGAAAGTACGAAATGTCTTGAAATATTATCAAGATATCGGCGTAGTGAGTGTTTTTCGGTGGAATTTACCTTCTTACACTAAAGACCAAGTGCACTATTTTGCTCAACCGTTGGCTGTATGGGAGTGTTTGTTCCGCTCCATGAGACATCTCGACTTTGTTGCGTTTCATGACTTGGATGAGTTCATAGTACCCCTTCGCCATGAGAACATAAGCGCAATGTTAGAGTACATTCATAAGGAAAAGCACTGCGGACATTGCTTTGAAAGCGTCCTTTTTGATCCTTCAAAGGATCAAAACGGCTCGCATTTAATGACGCAGCGAGATTTTCACCGAACAAGTAAGGTAACTCCATATTACACCAAGTGCATCGTAGATCCGCGGAGAATTTTTGAGCAAGGAATTCATCACATAAGCAAACCCAACGAGGAGTTTTACCACGCTGACAAAGCAAACTGGAATATAGCTCGTGTTTTTCATTACAGAAAATGTAAAATTCCCGGTGCCCAGTATAATCCGGGTTGTTCTGCTTTCATAGTCGACAAAACTATGCAGAAATTTGGCGATAAACTGTTAACCAATTTTAAACTTAGAATGAAGGCAGTAGTGAGCGCCAAACAGCAAAATGCGTAATTTTCTTGGCAGTCATTTCAGTTTCATTTGCCATTTACATCATGACCCTGGGTGCTGCTGTTGTTTCTGTTGTTACTGTTTTTAAAAGTTTTTTTTTCTTTCCGTCTGGGGAGCTTATTAAACCGTGCGCACGAGTTTTTTCTTCCCACTTTGATATTTCGAGAACTGACCTCTGAAGCCAGGGTATAATTAATTAATACAAGAAATGTATCTGCCCAAATGTCAAGGGTAGCAGAGCTATCATTATCGGTATGTAGACGATTCGATTTCTAAAATATTCCTCCTTGACGTAATCACCAGCCCTGTGAAAAATACCCTGAGCGAGTTTTTTTAAGTACGTTCTCTGAGAGGTTTCTTTAATAGTTCAATGCTTTTTTCCATAAGTTAAAGTAGAGAAGCGCTTGACCGTTGGAGAATGACACCCATACATGTTTTCTGATTTAGTTTATCATTTGGCAACTTCATCCTTCAAGTGTTTACAATACTGTTTCCTGACAATGGCAAACTGAACTGTCATAGTTGTTATATTAGACGGTGCTGTTTAATTCATACTAATCGCTAAAGATAAAAGTGTTGTACATGAAGTTCATTTAGTGTATATTTTGCAAAAGAAATATTTTACGGTAGTTTCTTGTTTCATGACCCTAGACTTTCTTGGACGGATGCAATCACCAAATGACGTCATACAAAGGATTGCAAAGACATTGAACACAATTCCCGGCACACCATAACACAAAAGCCAACCAACAATGGTTTCCGCATCACTAATAGAGTATTAATATAAGAAACACGCGATTTTATCGACAGCCTCTCGTGTTTATATCAGTTCTTTTCTAGTATTTATTATCAATGTTTAACAACTGGGCTGATCTATGCAATAGTTGAGGCAAGCCCACATAACAATACAAGTTGAATAAATATCTGTTCATTTTATATCAATATCATTTCATGATATGGAGTATGCATGAATAAAAACGCTTGATAGGTTTCCTCTCTTTCCTATTATGATACTATGAACTCTTGCATAAATTTATACTCTTATTTTTAAAATAACTAAGATTAAGTACGCGCCCTCTGATTGGCCGAGAGACGTATTTGCATATGTTTGTAACGTCAAGATATTTTGCCTTTCGTGCGCTAATCACGCAAGTACAAGTTTTAAAGTTGAAAACACGACAAGTTTTACTAAAAGCTTACTTTATTTACCCATTCCCTCGTCGGCTGAAACTTGCAAAATCTTTACAAACATGCTGACATTTTAAGCGAGAAAAATCGTTATTTTGGAAAGTATCTTTTTGCAAAACAAAAACAAGACTTTGTGTACTAGAATTCGCGACTGGTAAGAATTTCTCTTTTAATCAGTGCCAAACAAAGAGTTTTGCCTTTTTTTTCTAGGGATAGTTAATTTATAAAAGCGATAGAAAACGATTTTCCTGTATTTGCATAGCCTGCATGATATAAACACTCGACGGTTTAGGAGAATTCTCAACAGTTATGCAACCCCCGACTTCCGGTCCTATCGGGTTTGCGTATAATTGTCTCGAATTCTCCTAACCCCTCTCGTGTTTATATCAGGCTATGCAAACACGGAAAACGTTCTCGATTGCTTTAACATTAGGAATATATTTTATCAAGAGCCTGATTTTATAAGAATATCGAGGCTGAAATCTGCGAAAATTTAAGAACATTTTTGAGTAAACCTCTTTCTCTAAACGACAAAACTAGCCAACTGGCAACAAAACCCAAAAACTTTCACTAACTCTTAGTGCCCCAATACATTCTAAAACGGAAATTTTATAAGCTATAACTCAAGAACAATTTAAGAATATTTCCAGCCTAAAATTGGCGGCAAAATAAGAATATTCAGCCTGGGCCTGAAAAACAACACTCTTATGAACAAACTAAGTGTATCACGGTCAGTTATCTTGCGTCAAGACACTGAGTCAGAGATAGCTAGAGATGATCAACGTGACGAAAAACCGATTGGCGGATTGGCCAAAACAGGTGAATCAGCTCCAGGGCTAAAACGAGGTTTGTTTATTTTTGTATTTCAGTAAACTATGTATTGTGAAAAGTCCCTTGCTTTCCCAGGGGATCATGTTTAGCGTGCGTGCGAGCGAAATACGTGAGCGCACGTGAAAATTTGCCATGCATGCGAGGTGAAGCGAGACGCGGAGAAAAGAAAAAAAAAATCAGCAGACAGAATTAGCTATTTTGTCGGCATGGACCAGAGGACTGGGAAGGGAAAGGAGGAATTGTGGGTAGCTTTCGGAGATATGTTTGGTTGTTCGTTGCAAATCAAATCAGTCTAGGTCAGCATTCATTCGAGCTACTAACTTTTTCAAGATTTCACTTGTCAATTTGTTATATTTGTTTGTTGGCATTTGGCAGCAGTTAGTATCCGTGTACCTTTTTCCACAAAATGGTTTTGGGTTTTCGTATCAGCAAATAAATAAATAAATAAAATTAAGAAATACACATCTTCAAATAAAAGGAACCTTTAATGGAAAAACAATATTCGACTGGCAGACCTCGCCAGACAACCTCGTCCCCAGGGCTTTTCCCTCAAAGGGAAAAGCCCTGGGGACGAGGTTGCTCGCGAGAGCATCCAAATTTATGATTGGTCAGTTTCGATGCTATATCATATGGTGAGCTTTAAACGACTTTCTTTACAAAACTGCACTCAGTCGTAGACTTCTGCGTTTTCACCAGCCAGGTGATGCAGTATATGCACAAACAATGGAGTCCTTTTTTTTAACAAGGTTCTTAAATCTCCACTGAGCTACGATTTCTTAAAACAAATTGAACTCGATGACATATGCGCGACGTAATTGACCAACCAGATCAATAACCAGAGTATAATACCATTAACTGACAACTGACAACTCACTTTGACTTTGAAGATGACTACCACACAGGTTGTCGAAACGACAGTCACTGTCAACAACAACAGTCCTCTTCAGGACTACGTTCACCCGGACGATCAAACTCAACCTAATTTTGATCTATATTTTCATTCAAAAATTTACAAGGGGTCTGGAAATGAGATTGAGATTTAATCCCTGGATCCGCCACTATAAATTCCAAGGTTAAGAACAGTGAACACAAGCTCACTTAGCCATCCTAGAATAATCGATATCATTTACAAAAGATCGACTGAGTTGAGTGAATTTCGTAAACAATCTTATAAACTTCAGAGCCAGTTGTAAATGTAATTTTTGTCAGGAGGTTTTTGTATATCTTAGGGTTTTTCACCCAATATCTTAGATTTATTTATTTATTTTTTATCTAAGGGTTTTTCACTTATTCTTACGGGTTTTAGTTTTTAATTAATTCAGTACAAGGGAGGACTATCCTCTCTTGTTCAGTGGGATGCGGGAGGGTGTTGCTTTGAGTATTCATAATTTTCATTTGTTTTTATACATTTCAATCTTTTAAAATTATTTTTATTGAAATGTGTTGTATTATTTTTAACTTTTCTTATTGTTATACGTTTCATACATGAGCCCCTGCTCGGATGATCAGGGTATCCCACGTATTGATATTGATTGATTCATAGGCTCCAAAGTATCCCGGGGTTTGGAAATGATCCAAAGAATCCACCTCCGTTGTGGATCTTTTAAGTTTGGAAGAATACTTAGTAAAGAAACGAAATATCGGTTTTCGGATTAAAAATTCTGGATTTGGATTTTAGCAGGAGCTCATATGGACTGCTGATTTTAGTAAAGGAACGCGCCCTAGTTGTTTTCTCCCCCCGCCCCCGCCACCCCGCCGGCCCTTCGGGCTTAGCCCGACCCTGGGTTTAAGCCCTGGGTAACCTCGGGCAGAGATCTGGGTATGACACCTTGTTACCAGACTCTTTCGTTTGCTTTACGGTCGGGAAATCAAGCACTCTCTCAGAATCCTTTGGTGAATTGTCATGATATAATGGAACATGAAAACCGGAGCTATGTGTAAAATTCATATATTAGATGAGGAAAATCATTGATGAACGTTTTCTTTAAAGTCTGGGAACCTTATGGCGATAAAATCTTCTGCTGGCTCTCACTGTGACAAGTTGCTCCATGCTTGACAACGAGCAAAACATCGATATCTATTGTGGAGCATCCTGGAATTCTGAACTACAGTGCTTTACGTTGTTGTGGCTGACCTATTAATATGGGAAACAAAGCTTCAGCTCAAGAGGCTAAAGATCCATGCTTGACAACGAGCAAAACATCGATATCTATTGTGGAGCATCCTGGAATTCTGAACTACAGTGCTTTACGTTGTTGTGGCTGACCTATTAATATGGGAAACAAAGCTTCAGCTCAAGAGGCTAAAGGAGCTGGGAAAGACGTTATTAAACAGACGCAGAAAAGTTCCAACGAACTGTACGAATATGTCGATCTAAACGGAGGCGGAAAATTGGTGGAAGCTTTCAGAAGAGGTCAAGCAAGGAAAGATTTTACCGAAGTGGAGGAACTTATTGATGGATTTCGAGGCAAGTTCTTGTATAACGATGGCGTTGGAAAAGATATTGAAGTAAAAGAACTTGTACAGTGGAGAAACCAGAGCCGTGAAGTGAAAGAACCGAAGGAAAAAAGTATCTTTAGTTCTTTCTTTACCACCTTCACAAATCGCGTCGAAGATACAATCGAAACTGTTGGTACAGATAATTATGCGTTGACCGAAAACACTGGTAAGAGGATTTTTATATGCTTTATTACTAAGCGAACTTTCCATATCACAACTGTCTCCTGCACCATCTGCTCCTTGGGCTGCTTGGGTTGCCAAATTTCCCGGGCGAGGGGGGGTGGGGGAGGGGTGGGGGGACTCCCTTACATGGATTTTTTGCCATAAATTTTTTATCAGTGGGGGAAGGGTGGGGACACTCTCTTACATTTATATGAGCCACAAGTTTTTTATTGGTATGGTTGCATTGTTTCAGTCTGAAAACAGGTATAGACTTTGCCTATTTTGGTCTGAAATTGGGTATGGTTTTCTAGGGAACTCTGGCTGTGTATGAGCGAATATGTTGAATTCCAGCTGAATGAAAAAGAAAGAGTAAAAAATGATGCAAATTCGAAATGCATGTTATGGAATCTCTTTGTTGGTGTTCTCAGTGTTCCAGCCAGAGTGCGCCATTGCGTGAATCCCGCAAAAGATCGAGAGAAGGCCCCCACCAAAAGCATTCAAGGGCCCTTTCCTTTTTTAATTGCCTGGGCTTAAAATTGTCTCTGTTACTTCAACTACAATAATTTTCCGATTAAACAGAATTTTTAATCTAAAGAACAACGACTCTGTACCTTTGTACACAACATGAAAATCAATCAGTTTACCTGATTTACTGTCCCGTGGTCTGGAGACCACTGAGCCTCGACTTGGCTTTTGTAATATCGCAGAAGCTCATGGGTATCCATCATGGCGTCTCGAAAAAGGATAAACCTGACAAAATGCATCTTCAAGGTCTATCAAAAGTTTTTTCTCAGTAAATAACGAAAAAGTGGATGGAGGCGAAGCAGTTCAGAATAAGCGAATGGAAGCAGATCTTGACAGTGAAGTGGAAAATGAGATGAAAAAAATTACTGACTATTTTTATTGCATACATTCTGATTGTAGTACTGTTTGCTCTATTACCGAAGATTTCCTCTATTGTATATAAAAAGGGACGCTCCATGACAGCTTCAAATGAACTGGCATTTTCATTTCCTTAACTTTCCAACTGTTTCTTCTCTTTTGCATATTAGAAAGATATCGGTACATTGGCCCTTTCTTGAAATATCTGGCCCCCAAAAATGGGTTGTAGGGGCCACTTTGGCCCTCAAGCAGAAATTATGACATAGGTTCTTAGAGGCCAGGTCTGAAAACAGGTGGGGAAAGTTGTAAAGAATCAGGTTCTGGATAGATCTAAACACAAGCTGTCAATATTTTCTAGACCCGGTCACGTCACTATTGTGACCATGCCCGGAATAATTTTGTGGGCCTACCAGCCCCTCATTTCCTTGATATAGGCCACTTCAAATTTTTGAATAAGGCTTTCAAATCAGGGCTATTAGACAACAATTTTGTCATGCTCTGGGAAGAATGCCATCGGCACTCTCTGCTTTGTAGCAACTTAAGAGACCACAATGCTGTGGCTAAGAGTTCAAGAGTTTTTTTATCAAGTTTCTAGACAATTAAAGTAGGCCGAGTTGCATAGCTCTANTTTGCTCTATTACCGAAGATTTCCTCTATTGTATATAAAAAGGGACGCTCCATGACAGCTTCAAATGAACTGGCATTTTCATTTCCTTAACTTTCCAACTGTTTCTTCTCTTTTGCATATTAGAAAGATATTGGTACATTGGCCCTTTCTTGAAATATCTGGCCCCCAAAAATGGGTTGTAGGGGCCACTTTGGCCCTCAAGCAGTATCTTCTGGCTGGAACACTGTGTTCTAATCTAAGAAATGATGACATAGGTTCTTAGAGGCCAGGTCTGAAAACAGGTGTGGAAAGTTTTAAAGAATCAGGTTCTGGATAGATCTAAACACAAGCTGTGAATATTTTCTAGACCCGGTCACGTCACTATTGTGACCATGCCCGGAATAATTTTGTGGGCCTACCAGCCCCTCATTTCCTTGATATAGGCCACTTCAAATTTTTGAATTAGGCTTTCAAATCAGGGCTATTGGACAACAATTTTGTCATGCTCTGGGAAGAATGCCACTGGCACTCTCTGCTTTGTAGCAACTTAAGAGACCACAATGCTGTGGCTAAGAGTTCAAGAGTTTTTTTATCAAGTTTCTAGACAATTAAAGTAGGCCGAGTTGCATAGCTCTACAATGTACATGTAGGAGGTCCTTGTGGTTCCATTTTCCATTAATTTTGTTTGCTATAAAAGACACCTGGGCTAGTCATGTCATACATGTACTTTAGTAGCCAGAGGAAATTGTAGCAGTGCATATTCTGACTTTCCTACTATCAATGATTTTAGGCAATAAAACTCGTCAAGTCTACTGGGATATCAACCTGCGAGCGGCTGTTGGTGAAACCATCCTTCATCTGTGTTTTCTGAATGCCACTCGTGTGCATTATGATCTTTCCAAGATGATCATAAAAAGATTTCCCAATCTTGTCAATGATATTTATCTCAGTGATGAGTACTATGGTAAGTTTCATGAAAAAAAATAAAATAAAAAATAAAATAAGATCATTATATTGATGCAGCAAGGCTTAAGTATTATAAGGTGTTGGGTGTTACATGTACGTTATACCTTTTTACTTCAGGCCCAACTTCTCAGTTGTGCTTCAGGCTTGTACATTGTACATATAAATCAAAACTATACCCAAGTGCCGTTCTGTGTTATTAATTTTTTGTTTGAATCTTTTGTGGTTTAATTTTATCATTGATCCAACTTTGTCTCTCCTATTGTGGCAAATATCATGATACTGCCCTAAACAGAAAAAAAAATAACAATAATTTTGAGCCAATTATGAAATCAAAACCACTCATCTTGGTCACTTTTATTTTTTTTTATACTTTATTGTATTGAGCTTTAACTGTCCTTCTCAAAAGTAATTTTTTGAAAGTGACAGTTAAACCTAGGTCATAGAAAACTGGGGGACAATTTGACAGAAAAATTAATAGATAGTCATGGAATTTGACAAGCTTGTAGATTAATTACAAGCCAACAACTGGGGTGGGGGATTTTACGGTATATCTAGAAATTGTATTTTATATTTAAAAATGACACAAAGCGGGGCTGAAATCAATAAATTAGATAGCTAACGGTGAATATAAATTTTTAGTATGTACTAAAACAGTGGATAGTGTTTCTCGCGTGCTCTGATTGGCTACTCAGTGAATATCCTGCACTATTCACTGATTCACCTCCAGTTCCTCCGAGCGAGCGAGCGTTGCCAAACTTGCGTAGGTTGCGAGCAAAATGCCTTTCCGTTTGCTGCCGTAACAAACTAAGAAATTTCACAACTAATCAAGCAAGCTATTTCCAAAACACATGAAGAAGGTTTGGAAGTTTTAACAGGTAAAGCTTTGTCTTTTTTACTTGAATTTATCAATAAATCCAGTGAAAAAGTTTTTTGTTTACAAATGCAAATTAAGCTTATAAGTCTTGCATTACTTTATTTAGTTGACTTGTTCATAAATAAGCTTAAAACCAAATTTAATAATCTTTTTTACAGAATTATTTTAAATACAAAAAGAATTCACAACTCCTTTTGAAGAAACTTTCCCGCAAGAGCTAAACAAATGCCTTCAAAAGTTTTATTTGTCGCTAAGAAAAAGCGACGACCTCGGCCGTTTGGTCATCGTGCGCCAAAATTGTAATCGTTGGCAACAGTAAATGAGTTAAAAAATCATCATTTTTGTGCTCAATTATCTCACTGTTTTAGTATATACTAAAACAATTATTCACCTCAGTGTCGATGGCTAGTATTGGATATTTACCTCGCCGCTTCGCGGCCTCGGTAAATATCCAATACTGGCCACCTCCACTTCGGTGAATAATTGTTATTTATATTGGTTTTAGGAGAGAGTGCTCTGCATATGGCAATTGTCAATGAGAATCAAGAAATGGTACATTATCTTTGTAAGCACGGAGCAAACATACATGAGCGAGCTCATGGAGCTTTCTTGATGCCAGAAGATCAGCGCAAGTCAAGAAGAGACAACTTTGCTCAGGAAGAAATTGTTCTTAGTGATGTGACTAATTATGAAAGGTTTGTATTCTAATGTGTACGTGTATATTCTAATGTGTGACCCTTGTTTTTCCTGTAGTGGAATTTTAGTTGCTTTACATGAATGCGTTAACTCCCAATAACTCAAACCTTCAAAGGATATCCAAAAAAGGTTCAAGTTATCGGGAGCAGACGCGGAAGAAAGTACAGCTGTAGATGGGAGTAAGGGAAGAAAATCAGTTTTTACTGCACAGTAAACATAAAAAATCTCATTTAATTGTAGAAAATGTTAATAAGTGAAAATTAAAAGATACTTTTAGATCATAAATCAGAATGTAACATGCCAAAACATTGCCTAGATAGAGCAAGTATTAATTTTTTACTGTTTTGAGAAGTAAAGCTGTTTCATGTTAGATTTGTGACAAACAACATCAGCCTCCACTAGCATCCTAACNATGGCAATTGTCAATGAGAATCAAGAAATGGTACATTATCTTTGTAAGCACGGAGCAAACATACATGAGCGAGCTCATGGAGCTTTCTTGATGCCAGAAGATCAGCGCAAGTCAAGAAGAGACAACTTTGCTCAGGAAGAAATTGTTCTTAGTGATGTGACTAATTATGAAAGGTTTGTATTCTAATGTGTACGTGTATATTCTAATGTGTGACCCTTGTTTTTCCTGTAGTGGAATTTTAGTTGCTTTACATGAATGTGTTAACTCCCAATAACTCAAACCTTCAAAGGATATCCAAAAAAGGTTCAAGTTATCGGGAGCAGACGCGGAAGAAAGTACAGCTGTAGATGGGAGTAAGGGAAGAAAATCAGTTTTTACTGCACAGTAAACATAAAAAATCTCATTTAATTGTAGAAAATGTTAATAAGTGAAAATTAAAAGATACTTTTAGATCATAAATCAGAATGTAACATGCCAAAACATTGCCTAGATAGAGCAAGTATTAATTTTTTACTGTTTTGAGAAGTAAAGCTGTTTCATGTTAGATTTGTGACAAACAACATCAGCCTCCACTAGCATCCTAACACCTCCACTATGTGCCTACAACACATCAATGGGAAATTCAAAATTCAATGTTTCAGACACCAGTACACTGTTTTTCTCAACTTTTTAAAGGCTCAAAATATGGTTCAAGTTATTGAGAGTAAAGTTATCCACATTTTTTATAGACAGAAATGATCTGAGAGGAAACAAAAATTGCTTTCAGTTATCGGGAGGTTAGAGTTATCAAGGGTTTAAGTTACTGAGTGTAAATGTATGATGTAAATCCAGGGGAAAGTGATTATGGTTCACGTTACCTGTACAGCTGTAGGGTGAGGTTTGAGTTAGTGAGGGTTTGAGTTATCTGGAGTCAACCATTAAGTTTCATTAAAATGTACAGTATGTGGCCCTTGGTCCGTGCAAGTCCTCGATGCTATTGGTCCGCGACTTTTCCGAAAATGATAAAATATTTCATCGCGAAAAAAAATAGGTTGAATAATGAAAGATATCGTGATTTACTGATTAGCATTCTTTCATATGACGAAGTTTCGGCTTTCTTGTGGGTGGAGACGCGAAGTTAAAGTTTGTTGACAGGTAGGTTAATTTGTCTTTCTTTAAGTTTGGATTTTTGGGGTACCGTAAATTACATGGTCATGTTTACTTAGCCTGCGAATAAATAAAATGCAACGGGAAGACGTGCCTTTTTGCAGAACAGGTTTTCAGATCAACTTATTTCTGCTGTTGGAAGCATATTGCTGTAGACTCTGAATTTTTTGTTTTATTGACTCTATCTATGACCTTGGTTGAATAAAACTTCCCAAAATAAAAAGTGACAGCCTTTGTTTTCGAAGAATGTTTTGAAAATCGTCCCTACACATGTCTACCAGTTTTCTTTTTTTGATACCTCGAATACATACAGAGTTTTTGGTAATTATTTTCAACCTCGCTGAAAACCGCTCGTCGACGCTTGTGTGGGATACTCGAGGAGACTGTTGTCTGAAGTCTTTGAAAGAAAAGCAGATTATTTTATACTCACAACATCTTCTGAAAAAAACTTTACCTTAATTGTAGAAGAAAAGAAAAAAAATACATGAAATATTGTGAAAATCACGTTTTCGTGTGGAAACTATAACATTTTTACGTTTTTTTCGTGCTGCTTGCCTGAGACGCAGACCTAGGACCACATTCGCGGACCAAGGACCATCGAAAATGGTCGCCTTTTTTTTCAGGATTATTGAGAGGAACATAAAAGCTATCTTCAGGGAGTATTTCAGCTCGTTACGTGAAGATTCAGGTAATATATTCAAGTTAATGACTTTTAGACACGGACCAAGGACCACATACTGTGCACCTGGAGCAAATAAAATTTCAACCGTGTCATTTTACTGAACCATGACATCTATTGTGGGGAGTGAGCTGATATTTGTTTAGTCTTGGTGTTGTACATTTACCTCCAACTTCTGCAGTCATTAAAAATAAACAAAAATCTTCTATGATTTTCTGCTTCTTTCAGCAACACATACTGGGGAGAGTATCCACTGTCATTTGCTGCTGGACTTGGCTTGGAGGATATGGTGCGATACCTGTTAGCGAAAGGGGCGTGCCCCAATAAACAGGACACAAATGGCAACACTGTCTTACACATAATGGTTATACATGACAAGTTGGTAAGATTTAAGTTACTTATTTGGTATGATTGCATTGTCAGGAATCATGCTTTAATGGCAGGGACCTTTAGCAATGACGATGGCAACAATGGTGGAAACTTGACCCAAAATTAGGATTTGCGCTGTTTTAAATTTCATTGGTTCTATTCCAACTCTTCTAGTTTGTCATATACTGTAAGTTGGTGACTTATTCAGGAGTTACATTCTAAAGGACTTTATCCAGTGATGCCAACTCTCCCGCTTTTGGCGGGAGACTTACGCTTTTTTGCCTCGTCTCCCGCTCTCCCGCTTTGGTACATAAATCTGCCGCTTTTTACATCCACTATAAATATTGAATACTTAGTAAAAAATAAAAGAGACTTAGTTTGAGATTTAGCCCATTTTTAGCTCAAAACTTGAATTTTTCTTATTCGCAGTACGGTTTCTGGGGCATTTTTGCACGTATTTAGTCAATGACAAAGATTATTTCTACCATCAAAATTTTGATTTTAGGTCTCCAGAGGTTGGCATCTCTGTTTATCTAACTTCTGAAACAGAACATTGTCATCTTGTGTTCCTGTCCTCCAATTCAGTGCACAAAACATGAAATAAAAAAGGAAGTTTCACATCCTAGACAACTGTAACAACATCACAGTGATGTACACCTATTTGAATTAAGGTTGCCTCAGAGAAGAATGATGCATGATCTATGTTTCATAGCCTGCGGTGCATTATTGTAGCATTAGTCTAGTAAATTCAGGGCTTCTGACAGGTCGCGGAAGAAATAGTCAAATTTCGTGGGATTTTTAGGGACAAATTCGCGGAAAAATCGGCCGATTTAGCAGTAATTTCATGGGGGTTTTTGGGGCAAACAATCAGTAAAAAACGGCCAATTTTGTGGTTATTTTCAAGGCAAATTTCGCTAGAAATCAATTGGTTTTGCGCTGAACAGACCAGCGTTTTTAACGTTTTTCTTACAGAGGTCATCATTTGCTCTTTCAATAACAATACGCTCCAGAAATGAACCAATGGCGAAGCCTTCAACATCTTTGCTAGTGCCCAGTTTTTTGCAACATATATAATGTACCCCTGTTAGTTTTGGGATGTTGTTTGCACGTTTCAGTGACGAAGTTCTAAGATAATTTTGCAAGTTTATGGCAAGTAAATAGCCCCAATAGCTGAAATAAGTTTCAAATATGTTGTACAGACATGTATTTGATAAGATTTCTACCGAATTTCGCGGTATTTTTCGTGTTTTTGTAAATTTTGCGGGATTTCGTGGATTTACCTGAATTTCGTGGCTCCACGACTGCGTAAAATATCAGAAGCCCTGTAAATTATGTGCCCGCAACGAGCCTAGAAACCTAGAAATTAAACGTTGCTGACGCTTCTATGCTATGTCAGCAGAACGTTAAGACAATGTATTTCAAAATACTAAATCCTAGGCTTTTTAATTTAAGACAGTGATTTGAGGTTAGGTTTTTCTCTGTGGTAATATGCAAATGCTGCCAATTTTCAATGACTTTGCTTGGCTCGTACATGTGGGAATTTTGGATGGAGTTAAAAAAAAATCAAATTCAAGGCATTTGTTGAAGTACAATAAATGACTTAACATTACGCGTTTATCTATTTTCTGACGCAATTTTTTTAAAACTGAATAAAAAAGGAATAGGAATGAATAGCGTTGATTTGCTTTATTGAAATAACCTGCATTCTGGCCCATGCAAAAATGTAGCTTAATCAGGGGGTAAAACCCTATTCATTTAATGCTGTTAAAAGAAGAGGCTTCTAATTTCTTAATGTGAGCTAGATTTCTAAAAAAATGCTTAAAAAAATGCTTAAAAATTATTGTTAGCAGCCATTTGACTTGAAAGCTCTCTTGAACAACTTTTTTAGCTTGTCACAATGGTCCCCATTGTTTCAATGAACATGAACAAGACTGTACTTCCCGCTAAAAAAGGGTTTACCATAGTGCACTGCAGGCTATGAAACATAGTTCAGGGGAGCAACCTTAAATGAAATTGGTGTATACAGTACGTAATAAATTATGCTTTTGTCATTATCTTGTGGTTCAATTTTATCTTTGGTTTAAATTATATTTTTCTTTGTGTTGGGGTACAGTAATGTTTGACAATGAGTTTGATACGATGGAAATTAAGATTAAACCAAGGATAAAATTGAACCATGACATATATAACTCTATTTTAAATTATTAATTTTAAAAAGTACTAAATTTCGTATTAATTGTTGTATTTCAAAGTTACACGTTTTCCCAATTCAGGCCATGTGATGTTCTCCAGGGAATTAATTTGGCTTTTATTTTTTTCTTAAATCATGCATACAGTTTGGTATTATTATGCACATGTACGCACACGTATAGGACAACATTTGATATAAGCAGTTCTTTGGGGTACCATCTCCTGGTCTGAAATGACAGGGAAACAAAACATACAAGCTAAAAGTCTATTTGCTGGGAAAACGTTGACCTTTTGGTGGGGTCCAATCCTCTCCCAGGATCTTACATTAATTTTGTAGATCTCACAGACCTTCCACAGATTTGCATGGAGGACAAAATTTCTGAAAGATGTGAATGGTAGAAAATTAATTATTGTGAAATTTGAGAAGCAATAATGGTAAATTTAGACATTTTCAAGCTGAGATCCTGGTTTAAAGAGTTGAGTAATCTGTGACTTGAAAATTAGAATGCGACCAAAACTGTGAGATCAGATCAAAATTTTCCTAGATCTTAGATCCACGATTTTCTTGGTATCATAATTCCTCCACACGTAGTTTGAAAAAAAACTCGTTATTTTGTAGAGTGAGTAATATTACCGAGGTTTTGTTTTCTTAAAAAAAGTATCTGTACTGTAAGTAAAAAATAATTGTTGTAAAATTGTAACATTGGTGTTGTTTGCATGTACATGGATTACTAGGACATGTATGACCTTATTCTTGATATTGGCTGTCGCTGTCGATGTGAATGTTCAAAGCCACTCACAGACATTGTTAACAGAATGGGTTTCACACCTTTGACCCTTGCTGCCAAGCTGGCTAGAAAAGAGGTAAACTTGTTAAACTCTGATAATTCTAGTGCTGTTAGTCAGCTCAGCCATCAGCTTTTTGTCTACATACTGTACATGCATTCTGTAGGCTACATCGTATTGTAAAACTGTGTAGACAGTAGGATGATTATACATGGAAACAGTACATGCAGTCTTAATTGGTTACCAAAATGAGGTGATATTAGGTTATGTTACAGGATATTATATATATATATATATATTATTAAAAATATTAATGATAACATATACCTTTTATTAGCCGAGTTTTCAGTCTGTGATTTTTGGCCCAAGCGCAAAGTGTGTGGGCCATAAATCATTGGAAAAAAATGAAGATCCGTAAATATTAATTTACGGTACGGACCAAAAAAATGAGGCTAATAAGATATTTATCATAATGGCTTTCTGTCCTGTATGGCTTCCTGTCATTTGACAGGCATCAGAAAATGAAAGTTTTTTAATTGGGTCATGGAAACAATAGCAAGGCTTTCCATTAGAAGTAAAATTGCCATGTTGAAAGAGTTTATTCAGTCAATACTAAGAGCACTGTAAGTATTGTTGTCTTATTTGTCAAAGGAATTGCTTGTTTTCTCTCAGGTAAAACTTTTAGAATCTTTGCCAGTCGATTTTCGTCTTTTTAGCTGTTTACTGCAATCAAATTTTCAAACACTGGTTAGAATCCTCTTCTTCAATAAAATTACGATTCAGTTTCTTCATTGCCTCTGTTAACAAGTAAACACAGGTTAAAAATGTTGAAGGATGAAGTAAACATCCAAGTCCTGAAGGTTGACAGACGTCTTATAACTTTCTTTAAACCTTTTGTTCAAGATAAAGAGATTTAGAGAGCTGCTAAATGAGCATTTGCTTTGGAGGTTTTGGTCTGTATAGCAATGTACGGACTGCAAATTGACCAATCACATTGTGAAAAACACATTTAGCCATATGATAAAAATAATTATTATTTATGTTATCATCATTAATGGTGGCGTGTGAAAGTCGCATTTTATAACATTGTCATAAGTGTTGTCATGGCTTAATTAGCAGTCATCGATGAGTAACTGTTGTTTTACTTCTAGTTTTTGGGGCTTAGTTGTTCACCTCAAAGTCATGCAACTACAGTTGTAGCTGTAGCTTTGGTGAAAAATGAGTTAATAATGCATTTTGTGATGTGATACTCATGTAAATGACATGAAATACAGTTCTAATTTCTACATACAGTGTGCATTATGTGTTAGTGCAGACTATAATTTTTTGGTCTTCAAATTACAATCATTTGCTTTATACCTACAGCTGTATATGCTAGTGAATAATAAAAGTGTATTGATACATTTATTTCTACTTTGTTTGTTTCAGATGTTTCATCACATACTTACTCGTGAGAGAGAAGTTTTTTGGCAGTATGGTGAAGTCACTTGCGCTGCATTTTCTCTTAATAATCTTGATACAGTAAGCAAACTTAATCCTACTAGATTTGCCATTACCTTTTGACATTAATTTATAGTAATAAATAGCTGAATCATTTTTATAACCTTAATTGCAGTTTTCATGAATATTTTTGTTTTTATGGTTTTCTTTGTTTTTAAGTTCATATGTATTAAGTGTCTTGTTTTACATCCTTTGACCAATCAGTTCTTTTGGAGAATTAAAAAAAAACACAAAACAAACAAAGAAACGAGTGAACATAAGTTAAGGATTTCCTCGACTCAAATGCAACAGCACAGCATCCTTTAAGGTGTAAGATAAATGATTGTTTATTAATGTAGATTACAACAACTAGTCACACACAAATACATGTTGAGGGTCAAATTTGATTTCAGGTTAATTTTAATTTGACCCACAGTGGGTTGATTCTCAATCCTTTGTCTTCAAGGGCTAGGAGACAAAGGAGATTGAGAATTAAAACTAGGTTAAAGATTTTTAAACATGAACTTAAATTTGACCTGTAACATACATGCACAAACACATTTATTTTGTTCTATATGTAATGTCAGATTTTTGTAGAACATTGATGTGCCCGTGCCGTTGGGCATGAATGAATGTTTTATGTATTTTTAACATCTTTATTTTCATATTTCAGGTTACCAGTGAAGGACACATCAACGAGAAATGTGCATTAAACATAATCACACATGAAGTGAGTAAAGAAATTTTCTTCTCTACAGGCAGAGAGGATGTCTCTGCAAATTAAACATTACACGTACAATGTATTATCGTTCAGTGCTAATAATTATTTGTCCTTCTCATCGGCTTCAGGGCCCACCATGTAACCTGCAAATAACTGCGTACAAAAAATGATCTGGTCATGTGCAATCAATGTCATCTAACTGGTTTGGGCTGCAAATAATATTCTGCTCATGCATGAATGAAATCACTCTTTTCTCCTTTTTGCAATCCCTCTTGTGTAAAAATGGCAGATTGCTTCCCGAGGATATTCCTTAAAAAACAATAATTACTGGGTGATCGAATGATTTAGCAATAATATTATTGAACATGTATGTGTACAGTCTAACCTCTTCTTACGGACACCTCGATAATACAGACACCTCTCTATTACGGACAGTTTGTTTGGACCCAGAAATGCCAAAAATCATACATTCCCTGACCTCTATAATACGGAGACCTCTGTAAAGTGGACACTTGGTTCTGTCCCTTTGGTGTCCGTATTAAAGAGATTTGACTGTATGCCCCTAGGCTGAAAAAATTCCAAAATCCATTGTTTTGCATGTTGAGGAGGTAGCATGTCTCTGTATGTATTTTACTACTGTATCAGCTATTGTTGTTGTTACTGTCCTAGTTTCAACCTTTCTTTATGATGCTTGTCGCCATCTGTCTGTCTTATGTCGCTGTTTCAAGGCTATAAGTTGCCTGTTGGAATTTTAACCCTAACATGGCCTCATCAATGTCAAGCATTATGTTCTCAGTGGTTGGCTGTGCTTATATAATTACATAATGTATCTTTGATACTTGAAGCTAGCTGCGAATCTTGTTTCATGACTTTTGTCTTTGTTGTTGTTGTTCTTTTGAAGGAATCTGTGCCTCACTTGGACCTTTTTGATGGGATTCTGTACAATTTGCTCAAGGAGAAATGGAAGTATGCCTGCCGCTACAGGTTTGTTACAAAAGACAATGTAAATATGTACATAAGACAATGTAAAAGGGAAAGGGAACTGGAAATCATTCAACACTAGCCTTTCACTCGGTCAGTCTAGTCTGTCGCAGAAGCCCATTACAAGGATTGAGCTCAGTACTAATTCCATGTGCACTTGTGTCACAACATTTTTTTTTACTGACCAGTGTTTGGTTCGAATTTGGAATATCTTTTAAGTCCCACAAACCAGTCTGCAAAAACTACAGACCATAAAATGGTATTTTTGAGCATTTAATGGCCTTAAGTTTTCCTTTTGACATCTTATACTTTAAATTGCATTTTATAGGGAATCGAAATTATATCTAAAAATAAACTGGTCCGTGAAAATGCTGTGAAAATAACCCTTGAATCACTAACAATTGTTTAGGAAAGGTCTTCGTGTCTTCTAAATGGCATGGCAGATGCCACTGGTTGTGCTAACTTCCTTGTGTCAGAGGGGGCGGAGCATCTTGAAACGTGGGGGGGCTCATCTCTCACTTAGCCATGTGCATACATACCCCGCCCAAACCTCTTTGCAATCTTCACAGTGTCTAGTGTGTCAGTAATCAATTTGTGACAATGCATCAGTAGGCAGTTGTTCAGGCGGCCCTGCTTCGTGGTGCTTCTTAGGTAGTTCTTGAGTCGTCTGAGGGTAGAAAATGTGCACTCTGATGCCACCAATGCCACAGGTTATGTCACTTGCTATATTTTCGGCACCGAAACATGTGCCCCCCATTTTTGTTTATGCGGACCACGGCCCCTCCTGCCTCTTGCTGCGCCGCCTATGAGTCGGGATGAGGGTGCAAGATTGCTGTGTAGGTTGAGGGAGGTACTAACTATTGAATTAAAAGCAATGTTAAGCTAAGATGCATCTAAAGTACATCTATTATTACTGTTATAATATACACATTGACAATAACAATAGGTTGTTGTGAAAACCTAATACCAACGAGATTTTAATAATACAGCAGGATACCTTCGTAAATTTTGGGCCAGGTCTTGGGTTCAGGTACTATTATCATTTTGTCAGTCAATCAGACAGTCAGTTATTCAGACATGCATTTATTGACACAGTCAGCTGGTCATTCGGTTAGTTGGTCAGACAGTAAATCAGACCTTTGTGAAGACAGTCTATCAGATGGCCAGTCAGTCAGACTGTCAATCAGACAGTCAGTCAGTCAGTCATTAATCAGCCAGACAGTGAGAAAGTTAGTTAATGAATGAGGTAGGCATTTAGATATCGATGGTCAGACATTCAATTAGCCAGTCAGACAGTTAGACAGTCAGTTCATCTTTTGTGAGAGGTGAGCCAGAGTCACTCTGTTTATCCCTTTAGTTCATTAGTTTATGGTATTTACAATGAAAAACCACCACATTTTGAAATACAGGTAGTCATTATTGCTCTAAGGTTTCCATAGAGCATAGACTCTTTTCTTTTCGTTGAATTGTGCAGCTCGATATAATCTTCATATTGTATGTCTTTACTTTGGTATAAACTATCGCAATTACTTGCGAGTTTGGAGTCGCCCCAATTCTTCTTTTTCTTATTCCAGGTTTTATCAGCTTCTTGCCCTGTATGTTGTCTTTCTCATCGTCTTCAGTATCGCAATGCTTCTCCGCCCGATTGAAGTAAGTCTGTAGCATCCTGCTTCATTAGTACAGTCAAACCCAAGCAATACGGTCACTGAGGGGGCCATAGATAGTGTGCGTATTAACGGGGTGCCCAAATGTAGTGGGTTGAAATTAGTGAAAATGTAGACAAAGCAAACTGTCCGTAATACAGTCAACTCACTTTATTGCGGACACTGTAGGGACTTCGAGTTAGCGTCCTCTTTAGTGAGAGTTCATAATAGTGGGAGTTTATTTCAGTCAAACCTCTGTAATTTGTTTTTTCCGGGGATTTAACTACTGTCCGTATTACAGGATTCGTACAGGTCATGGAAAACATGGCCGAAAGTCATTGAATTTAAGACTTTCATTTTAAAGGCCTGGAAAGTCATGGAATTTCATTGTCGATCCTTGAAAGGCATGGAAATTTAAAGTTTTCACCTTTGTGTGGTAGATTAGTTACCGCAGATGACAAAGCAAGGATAACGAAGGATAAAGAGGAGTAACCAAACAGCGTGAACTGCACGCATTAAATGGTGGATACCAGAGTTTGTTTCTGTTGAACTGTTTAAGGGCCAAAAATATGCTAAAACAGGTTAAGTTTTCAAAATTTTAGAAAATGACAGCTAAACCTGAGGTCATGGAAAAGTAAAAAAGGTCATGGAAAAAGTCGTAATAGGTCATGGTAGGATACCTTTTGGGGGACCCCTTTCTTGGACCCACTTTCTTGAAAAAGGGCCCCCTGAAATTACAGAAGGGGGCCCATTTGACGCTCATTGGCCAATTTCTAGAATAAACCCTGTAACCGTGGGGAAACTTAGACGCCTAGCCGTTCAAAGTTCCGTGAACAGAGCGAAAATATTTCACGTTCCCCTGCCAACGATGTGTTCGGTCAGTTTTTTTTTTATCCGATCGAAAATTCGTCCGTAACCTTAACAGATGAGAGTGTATATTTATAAGATTTTTTTAACTCAATTTGGACAGGAAGGGGGCTGCGTTGATGAGCTCAGTGATACAATAAATAACTCTACCGGAAGTTTGATGGGGATCAATGCTACATCTACAGCTCCTATTAAATGCGATGACTGTTTCCTTCTTACAACAGTTGAAACAAGCACCACTCAACAGGTCAGAACACACGGACAATCTTGATTTTACCGTTGTCAATACAGTAAAAACCCGCGTATAAGAACCTAGAATTTTGGAGTTCAGGCTGAACAGGTTCTTATATTTTGGGGTATTTTTTCCAATAACAGGCTGATTAGGTTCTTAGTAGGTTCTTATTTCCAAACGTTGTCATAGTGATAGCATTTGGGGGAACTGCAATAGTACTAATATGCTATAATTGTAAAGCATTTTCAAAAATGTCAAGCCTTGTTGTCGAAACAAGTCCTGTATCATGGTCCAAGAGAAAAGTCCTGTATTTTTTTATATTGTATTAAAAAAAAACTGTTTTGATTTTTAAAAGTGCTGTACAGTTTTTATGACTGTATTTGTAACTACAGCAAAGTTTAATGGAATGAATAATATTTTTTTGGTGAGGCTGAAAAGCAGTACACCACAAAAATTTTCACAATTAAAATCCAGAATTTGAACATAAAATCTGGAGTGTTTTTTTTATATAAGAACCTATTTTTCTTTGTCAGGCTGAATAGGTTCTTATATATTTGGGTATTAAAATGCAAAATTTCAGCCTGTAGGTTCTTAAATCACTAGGTTCTTATACGCGGGTTTTTACTGATCAGTGCGTGCTGATCTTTTACCTTTATTAGTCAGCTTGGGAATGATCCTTATTCACCGTGCAAGATACACTAATGATAATGAAATGATAATAATAATAATAATGATCATAATAAAGATAATAATAAATGGTAATGATAATGATAAGTATTACATTGCGGCTTCTCGAACCGGAAAAATCTTTGATCCTCTGAAATAGACCAATCGCAAATGAGGACAGTTTCCGGAGAGGTCAGGAAAGTTCAAATGGATTTAAACTTTTTAAATAATGCATTGTTGAAATACTTAATGTTGTGAAAACGGCCGGCAATTCGCCGCACCATCATTGGTTTCCCCGCGAAATGACGTCTTACCATGCTGATGATGTGTCACTACCCAGATCTGGGTGGTGCTTCTGGGCTGAGTTGCTCAAAGCATGGTTAGCTTTAACCATTGGTTAAGCAGTATCAAAACCAATACGTTGTCAAGGTATTAAACGCTGGTTAACGCTAACCATGCTTCGAGCAACTGGGCCCTGATTGATTGAAAATATACTTCAGCTAATCAGAAGCACTACCCAGATCTGGGTTTTGACGCGTCATCAGTATGGAATTTCTGCGCTCGACGTCATTTCGCGTGGAAACCAGTGGTGGTATCGTGATTTGTCGGCTGTTTTCTGATGCCATTGATCCGCTCTAAAAAAAACTTAAGGATATTTTGTTTGCAAAAAACGTTGTGATTGGACAAAGTTGATTTTATAGGATCAGTAAATTCACGCGCACAACTCAATAACAATATTAATCGCTTCTGTAGCATATAGAAGGCTACACCGTGATGGGGCTTTTGCAAAGTCGAAGTTGACATATCAACTCGTTGAAGTAAAGTTATTACTGTCTTATTTCTGTAACACCCAGTAACCCTTTGTAACCCCTGTAACGTCTTGTAACTTATGTAAACCCTTATGAGCCCATGTAACCCCTTGTAAACCCCTTTAAACCCATATAGAGAGAGCGGTGTATACGAAACTTAAGGTACTGTCTCTTTTTTCTACAGGCTCGAGCTGCTTTTGAAATCCTCACTTTGCTGTTCGCATTTTTCTACATTCTTATTCTGATCCGGGAGATCATCTTTCAAGAAGGAATCAAAAGCGTGTTCTGGGGATTGGTAAGGTTCCCTTATTACTAAAATTCGGGGGTGAGGTTGGGGAGTAGGCCAATGGCTGGTCATAATATGTGAAACTTTGAAATGTGAAAATATTACATTGCTTGTGGTGCCGTCTCTCCTTGCTCCTTGCCGCTGGGGACGTTTCGCGGGAGAGACGTCTGCGCTTCAACGACAGAAATGCTATGTTGATGACGTAAATCAGTGCTTGCATAATTAATCTGATGGTGTTCCTAATTTTTCGAGATTATATATTTACTCGTGATGTTTTGAGTTCTTCTGCGAACGAGTGGCATAAAATTAAACCTTAAGTGATTCCTCTGAAGAAGAATATAGTCCACTTATAATGACTGTTTTGCCGTAGGTAGATTCATCGCGTTTACATTTGACCTTTGTGGTCTTTTGTCTGTCATTCGTAAACAATAGTTAAAAGAATATAATCACTACTTCGACGAATAAGAGTTCTTGACCAGATTCTGGACCGATTTTACGTCCTTAATATTGCATTTCTGTCTCCCTTATATACCGGGGTTTCATCGTAGAATTACAAAGGTTCCTATTTCCATTGAAGAGCTTGGTAACTTGGGAAACAACACGAACCTTTTTCAGCAAGTTTCTTGTTGGTGCTCAAGCGTTTTCAGTTTTTTTACTCTGCTGATTGTCTTGATGCAACCGTGGTTGTTGTATTTTCTCTGTTAGGTCCGCACACCTCTTCGGCTCCTGTTCACACTATCTTGCGTGCTTCTGCTGGCTTGTTTAATCACCCGCTTCACGTGTAAACCTCACACCGAGGATCATTTAGCAATCGCTGCTCTGGTAATGGCCTGGCCATACTCTCTCATGTTTTGCAGGTATGTAGGAACCCAAATGTTTTTCTTCCCTGGACTCTTGGCCAGGAGTCAACTTGGGATTTTGTGAAGGCGGCCGCTTGCTAGAGTGTCCGTTCAACTGTATTCGAAATACTCATACTATGAGGATTTAACGATAAAGGATAATGATAATGATTATCATTAACCATAAACGGATCCCAGGTGTATTTTGCAAGAGAATGTCCACTTTAAATTGTACTTTGTAAGCTTACCAATTCGCGACTTTAGAAACGAGAGGAGAACTGGACCCGAAACGCGTCCCGCAATTGTTTCTGGCATCGTTACAGGGGCTCGCATGTGTTTCGCACCTGTAGTATACATTATTCATTGAAAATATTTTTCCGTTTCTGATTGGCTAACTGCCGTGCATAATTCATCACAACCAGCTGCTCTCGACCAAATTTGGAAGAATTTTGCGAAATGTGAACTGATGGCATCAGTCGTGCAGCAAAATTGCCAGATTAATGAACGGTTAACCGAGAAAACCTGGGAACGAGCTTGAGTTGTTTTGATTGTGAATACAAAATGGCGGATCATTTCACTTGTTTCACGACGAAGAAGGAACAGCAAGAACATCATAGGCACCTCTACGGTCGACATCTGCTATTTGGAGAATATTTGCAGAACTGAACAACCCGTTATCTCCTGAACTTGCCGATAAACATGCACTATCGAAGGTGAACTTAACATCGATGGAGGTTAGCATGTTTTAGCTTGTTTTGAAACTAGGAATTATTTTGAATGAATAATAAAACAATTATTGAATTCGCCATTCGTATCATCTGAGAATTTCGCAGATGCTAGTTAGCCTCATTCAGTAATTGCTGATTATGTTCCTGTATGTTTGTGTTGCAGGGGCTTTGCTCTGGTTGGACCGTTTGTGGTCATGATTTATCAGATGCTTAAGAAAGATTTCCTGATTTTCTTTGTCATTTACTTGATTTTTGTCATCGGATTTTCACAAGGTAAGTGGACTGTTTGTCGAATTCATCTTGCTTCTTCTCTCATATACGAACTCAGTAACAGGACTGATAGTTGTTTTTTGGATGTGCTGAAAATAACAACGTTGATTAATTGGACACTGTCCATCGTCCTCTTCTTTCTGCCGCTCTTGTTGCGTAAATTCACTACTACCGGTGGTATTGATTGCGTAATTTCACATGTGTTTCTATTTTTATGACATATTTTCAGCAATGTTCCTTGTCATGAGGGGTTATGAAGATAGCACGATACAAGAAAATCTTTTTACACGCTGGTTTGCTGCGGGGCTAGGAGTAATCATTCTCTCGTTAGGGGAATTTGAGGTATATTTCCACTTTTTTAGTTTCGCCATTGCGGCCATCAGTTTGTCTTAGGCTGTATGCATATGCATACGTAACGGAGCGAACCGTCACGTATCGAATAGTTGTTCACACTCTACCGGCACGAAAAGCTACCCGGTATAGTGGGGACGGATCAGTTTGGGTCTCTGGGAAACTACCCGCCTACCCCTCCCCTAAGCCATCATTTTGCCCCAAGTGAGAAATAAGCGTTAATGTTAGGGGAGGGGTAGGTGGGTAGTTTCCCAGAAACCTAAATAATCCTGGACATAGCCTTAGTCTAGGCTGCATGGCAAGTACCGGAGAAGACGTTGGGGGTGGGGGTGGGTGGATTTGGGAGGGCATTATTATTCAGATTCCGTGAGAGCGGTTGGTTGAGAGTTCAATGCTATTATTGAATGAAGCTCGAGGCCAAACGAGAGCAAACAATTTGAAGTGTCAGCAACGCTGTGTGACTCTCACCTTTTTTTTCTACTTTCAGTTGTTGTATGAACAGGTGGCGAATTCTAGGTCACCATTCAGGGTTTTGGGTTTGGTAAGAAAATTCAACTTTACTGTATTTCTGTGTGATTCGTCAAACACCTCTATCGCTTATGGTTACTCCAATTGTCCGCTGAATACAAACATTAAACCTTAATTAAACATTAAGTAAAGCCCTCTACCCATCGCTAAATGATAAAATTCCCACCATTTAAAAACCTGTTTTCGCTACTATAACATTTTCGTTGAAACTCGTAGTAGAATGACGATGGCTATCACATTTTCTCGCCAAAATAGCGTTGGTTCGTGCGTGCGCATTACTTAGTATTCAGAGAAAAACTCGTTCTCGTTGTCGTCCTTGTCTGACAATCTAAAGCTCTCTTTTCTTCCCACAACTCGTATTATATTGACGACGGCTATCACCGCATTTTCCCGCCAAAATAACGCTTCTTTACGCACGTGCAATACTTAGTATTGAGGAAATCTCGTACTCGTAGTTGTCCTAATCTAAAGGTCTCTACCGCCGGTATAGACTGTCAGTAACATAAGCTACCTGAACTTTAGTTCGGTCTTAGAGAGTTCAGAGAGAAGCACAGGCGCATATCGTGAACGACTTTTAATACTGTAGAGCCTCTCACCCTTATCTTTCACCCCTAACAGTTTTTATTTTTATTTTTCGTGTTGTCATAGATCATGTTTTTCTTGTTTATTATCCTTGGTGCATTGTTGATCGTTAACATGTTAATCGCTATGATGGGTAACACATATCTGATGGTCGCAGAAACAAAGAAGGAGTGGACACGACAGGTAGGGAAAATTTTCCTTTTGTTCACCCCATAAAGTCATTGCAGACTGTGCTGGTACATCGTGGACGTATAACTGACCCGGGTAACCCTACACTGGACAAGACTCCCATCAATGGAGAGTATATGTTGTCTCTTATCGCTGCAGAATTGAAACGTAACTTTGGCGCTAACCTTTCTATTGACAGGGTTCGTACAGAGTCTTGAATTCTTGAAAAGTCATGAAGTTTGCCTAGCAATTTTCCAGACCTGGAAAAAGTCTGGAAAATGGAGAAAAAGTCTGGAAAAATGGTTATAGGTCTTGAGTTTTTTTTTCAAAGCTACAACAAGTGCTCTAGAAGTGAATTTTTTTTCGTTTTGTTCAAATTTACTCATTCAAATTAACCCGTATGTTTGCAGCGTGCAATGAAAAAAGCTTTGTTCCGGCGTTCTTAAGATCTCTGTTGATCACCTTCCTTGCATCTGGAAAAAAGATTATTGTTTTGGAAAAAAGTCCGGAAAAAGACTTGAATTTTGTCTCCAAAAATCTGTATGAACCCTGTATTGACTTCCGTCCCACTGACATTCGAGTCACTGAAGAATTCACAAATCTGAAATACTACTGCCAGTAACCCAGTAGTTGATGAGTATCCCACAAGGAATGGGGAGGGGGGAGGGAGGTGTATTTAAACTTCTCAGCACTTCAAACCAGACGTACCGAGTGACGATCCGTCCGTTTGTTCCCCCTCTGGTTCGTCTTAACTTTATTGCAGGCCTTCTTTCTGCACTTACTTTTGTCTTCTTGCTGACATTTGAGTTTGGTTGTTCAAAGGGAGAATTAAGATAGAATCGTCACTCTTAATGACATTACGTACAGCTTAAAAAGTAACTCGGCACGGAAAGTTAGACTTCGTATTAGACTATTGTGATACGTGTAAAATTTTGTTTTTCCTCCCTAGTGGGCGCGACTTGTGCTGGCAACAGAGCGCATGCTCACACCTAAACAGAGACTTGCTGCGCAGAAAAAGTATTCACAAAGCCTGGGTACAAGTGGCGAGAGGGCGCTGATCATGAGACTGCGGAATCATGAAAATCGCCAACAGGTGGGTAGTAGGGAGGGGAATTTGTTGTCACTGTACAAATAAAATGCACTGCAAGATAGTTCTATTTGTGTAAATCATGGGAGGACCAAAGCCCTCATTTTTAATGGTCATTAGTGACCTTAAAAGACACCTTCTGCCTGCGAGTACGGGTAAGCGAACATGTTTGCCACGTAGTTATAAAAATGGTAACCATGATTTCTTATTCACTGTTCTACCCGGTAGCCTACCCGTGTCTCCGGGGTAAGAGGCAATCCATCTGTACGGGTAATTTACACGTACCCGCACACGAAAACGTTGTGTCTTAGGATTGATTTTCACTGTAATTTTTACGTGCGTACGTGCGTAAAATTTACGTTCGCAAATAAAATAGAGGCAGTTACGAAAGGTCGCACGTAAGCGTAAAAGTAGAAACTCGCTCAACTTCACCTTTAATCTCAACACTCTATATCTTGCCTCTACTGAAATTTACGTGCGTTAACGTGCGTAGCCAAAAATGCGTCAGTGGAAATCAACCTCTAAGGTCTCTATAACAAACTACCGTGTACGGCTGGTGTACGGCTACCAATGTTTGCGGTTAGATCATGCAAGACAAAATTGACCTTCAGAGGTTATCAATTTTCTCACATTGTAAAAAATCAGCACTAGCCATTACAGCGTAGGAATGTCATTCACGGGATCAAACAGCACAACTCTTTTAATGGTGACTGAAGATTACACCCTAGCAACCGTTGGATTAAAGCTGTAAACAATTTATTTATCACAGTTCTTTTTGTTATTTTTTTTTGAAAAACTGAGCTGGGGACACGCGCCACCATACTTTGGTAATGAGATTTCTGGGGTCGTTTGAGGGACCATTTAGAGTTATGATATAAGCCTTTTCCAAAAATAGCATAATACTTTTCGTTGTCCCTCCAAAATTGTGCATTGAAAACAATGCTTATGCAAAATTTTGGAGGGTCAACAAAGAGTATCATGGTATTTTTGAAAAAGGCCTATTGGGTTTTGAGTTATGATAGTGGACACTGAAAACCCGCATTGGCTAATATGAAACTAGCGATGGTTACTCAAACTATCCCAGAAGACCATGTGCTAAAATCTGTTACCTTGTGTATCTGAATTTTCTGATTCCCGAAACACTATAATAATTGTTGTTTTGTGTTGTTTTTAGAGTCAAGTGTCCCACGATCCAAAGCAGCAAGCAAAAGCCAACAGGAAAGTTTCCGCCGTGCCTTTACCGAAGATGGATTATAATTGGCTAGACACTGAATAATTGTTGGCTGTTCACAGTCTCCTGTTTTTCCGTTAGATCGCCGAGATCGAACACCTACTCTTACGGGCGGCCATCTTACTCGCTTAATATTGTCTCGGAAGTTGTGTTGGTTTCAATTCTAACCTGGGGATGAATATCAAGTCGACCAAGGGTGGCGAGGGACGATTTGGAAGAAGGCTAGAAAATATCTTTCTCGCTCCCCTGCCCCGCCGTAACGCTATTAACCAAAGGGCCCGCCCCTCGGCACATTTGACACCAAAATGTCTGCCCGTAACAGTGTGCGCTCCATCTCGACTATCTTACCGAAAGATATGAAACTATGAAGAGTCTTTTCAATTTCTTATTACTTGGGTCAGTTTTTTGGAGGATGTTCAGCCAAATCCAGGTTTAGTTTCAATGACAACTTATTTGCCGTGTTTGTATTTAAACCTGGAATTAGAGCTTGCGTGCCTTCGAATAACTCGGTCCTGGCGCCCGTTTCTCGAAAGTGCCGATAACATTTCGGGCCCGAAAAGCTGTTTTATGTTTGCTGCGTTTGCATTCATGATTTAATAATTTTGATAATGATACAATGAAATTATCAGTTTACGAATGAAAACTGACCGGTTAGTGGGCTAGGAACTGTGCTGCTATTCAACAGGTTTTGATTTTAAAATTTGCCTTCAGGCCCGAAAAGTTACCGGGCCTTTCAAGAAACGTGCGCCTTATTATATTTAATCCCTCAAGCCCCGATATCTACACACGAATTCTCTAAACTGATCTCTATATATTTTCTTAAAGAATTAATTGAGAGAATTTGTTGAAAGATCCAAGCATTTTACCTTGGTGATCATTTATTAATTCTCCAAACCTCTCTCTTATTATTATGTATTTATATTATAAGGAGGAAGTTGTTGTTGGTTACTCTTAAGACTTAAGGTTAAAGGGAAAAATGTCTTGCACGCACGTGTGTTCAGGTGTGAATTATCCGCCTAAAAAGAAACATTTACCAAAACGAAGCCGAAAAGTTGCAATATAGTCAACTCTCTTTATAGCGGACACTCGAGTTAGTGTCCTCATTAGTGAGAATCCGTAATAGCGAGAGCTTTTTTCAGTCTAAGGTCAGTAATTTGTTGTTGCTGGGGATTTAGGTTCTGTCCGTATAAGCGGGGTGTCCGCAATACGAGAGTTGACTTTAATAGTCGGAATAGAGCCTTTGAAACAGGGCTCCGTTTGTTTCTATGACTCTTACTAGATATTTTAAATTTTAGATTTTCCCCACTGTGCAAAAGTCGGCGCTGCGCGCGCAAAGCTATTGGGTAAAAAACCGATTTAAAGACGGCATATTTCACGAGAAAAAAAATCTAAGGAGTAGGGATATATCAGTTAGTCATGATAGCATGTTATCTTTTTGTTTCGTTCACCTACTGTGACTGAATAATCGGTATGTATTTGCATTACGTTGCGGAGGGGTGTCACTATTTATACAGGATGTTAGCGTCACTACACGAGAAGTATTTCGTACTTATTTTTTTATTTCTTGCTCGTGTAACCAAGTTGCATAAGCCACACCCTATATTTGAATAAGAGCGGCCGAATACTCTATTGACTTGTCTCCTTATTAGTTCGCAACCTCAATTTGTGGGGTCACACAGACTGCCAGCAATCTCTCAATAGCTTTAAGGGACTTTCAACTCCTAGGAAAACCTATTTTCTATGTTTTATTGGACGATTGACACAGGAAGTCTTTTAGCAGAGTAATAGAGTTTCTTTGTGAGGAGAAATGCGGGATCTTTTTTCCGCGATAATCGAGAGACATAAGACGTTAGGTCGACAGTTATTTATATATTTATGTATTGGAATGGTATTTATAGCCTAGAGGGCCCTATATTTATATTTATTTGTATTCAGGGTTCGTACATGCACGCTACAGGTTAGTGTCACACTCACAAGTTCAAAATAAAAGTTCTTTTCAGAAAGAGCTCGTTCAGTGCTTTTCCCATTTGTGTACGTCTACATTCTTGGCCGTTTTTATAGTAGAGGACGCATCCGTCTGGACGGATAATGCGTCTATGGCCGTTGTTATACTACAGTCGCATTATCCGTCTGGACGAACTTGGGCAAACATTTTGTAGTTCGTATGGTTATGCGTCTCAAGTATAAAGACCGGGCACAAGACGCGTTATGCGTCTGGACGAATTATCATACGTCTTGAACGACGCACTACGAAAGGTAGTTCGTTTGGACGCATAATGCGTCTTTTGCCCGGTCTTTATACTTGAAGACGCATAACCAGACGAAGTACAAAATGTTTGCCCAAGTTCGTCGAGACCGATAACGCGACTGTAGTACAAAAACGGCCATTGCCTTTGTCTACTTCTTTTGTTTGCTGCGAAGCTTGTTCTCAGGGCCTTCTCTTCACTGAGAGAGAGGAGAATGAGTGGCCCTTTAAACGAGGCTCTGATGAATGACGTTCTCGGTCACGAGCGAAGTGGTGAAGCTACCCACTTCCCCTTGGGGGGGGGGGGGAATCTAGAGGTTAGGAGGGTGAGGAGGGGAACAGAGGAGGAAAAGATAAAGGAATCCCAGATCTACCCTCAAGTAACAAACAATTTTACAAGTGAGGATTTGACTCTAGTTTTCATGGGATAACAATTGTTGGTTACATCTAAAATAAACCCAGGCATTCGTAAAGGAAAGATTTTTATGATGACCACGTGCAGGGTCCAGAGGAAATGTGTTTGTCTTTAGAACATCAAAACCCGTTGAAAACCTCTGAAAAATGGGTTATTTTGATCGCGTTACATTTTCGTTACACATTCTATTTACCGCAAACCAAGCCCTGAGGGTGTGCCTCGGTCGCCCTTCGGGCGACGTGTCGTGCGCCAGCGAGGATATAGCTTGCGCGGTTACTGATTTTCAAAATGGCGAACAACAAAGTCGATCTGGGTCAGATAAGAAGCGAAGAAATCGTTTACGGTAGATTCATAAAGATTCCATTGGGCTAATTAATCGTGCTAAGCGACAGGTATAGACATTTTTTAAGGTGAGACTTTAAATAAGTAATTCATTTATTGACACGAAACTCCTCTGGACCCTGTGTGATAACTAGCAAACTTCAAACCTCAAACCGCAGCAACAAAGTCGAAAAAAGTTTTAACTTCCGCATAAACATTGTTCATTACGGCGAGAATTAAAAAATGTTATCCAAGTAACGATATGAAGGGAATGCATTAACATGGGTGATGGCAGAGGTGACAATCAGGGTTAGAACCTAGCTAGGACCAACGGAATAGAATTTGCGCCGCCCAAGTTGTATGTCACTGAGAAAATCCTTTTCTAATGTAAAATCATGGGCTCGATATCAAGTTTTGATAATCAAGACTGTTTATAACAACTCCGAGTAATTGTGAGAACTAACAAAGCGGCTGTCTGCTGCTGGAAGGCGAGGCTACACGCGCATAATTAAGTAAGCGCGCGAAAGGGTTGCGCTGAACCGTAGCGAAATCTTAGGCGAGCAAATTTTATTTCGGCCATCTTTCCGTCAATAATTACGATAATAACTACCTTGGGTGCCAGAGACTTTTCATGCGCGGTTTCCGGTGTTAGTCCAGTCTTTATAAGCATCCTGCCCCATGCGAGGAAAAACCTCTGGTGCCCTAATAACTCGATCTTATCGAGGCGGGTTGCTACAACAGTTGAAATGATTTATTACATGAACATATTTCTATTTGTTTTCTTTAGTATTTGCTTTAGGAGGGCTTGAACCTAAAGAAAACAATGTAGCTGCTGGAGTTTACAGTGCGAAAAATGGACGTATGAATAGTTTGTGCCGTCATAAAATCTGATTCCATTGCTGAGATTGGCTCAATTTAGGTTCCTGGGAAACTGCCCACCTACCCATCCCCTAAGCCAACGTTTTGCCCCAAGTGAGCAGTAAGTGTTAAAGTTGGCTTAAGGGAGGGGTAGGTGGGCAAAATCCCAGAAACCTAAATTGATCCCTGAGATTTTCACATTTCGAATTATTTACCCAGCTTCTCCCTAAATTGTATAGCCTGAGTATCAGGCGTTTCTGGGGAAAAGGGGGAAAGATGGAAGCGTAAAAGGGAGAGAGCTGAAGGACAGGACCTTTCTCTTCTCCCCCTTCCCCCTCCCCAATCTACAATCTCCTCTCCCCTAAACCCTTAGGAAGGCATGATACTCAGGCTATAAATTGTACGACACGAAGATTGTCATAATCATAATCATAATCACAATCGAAACAGTCACGTAACAATTATCAAGATAACTCCCCAATAGACACCTGTTACCTTAGCCCCATCTTGATAGGTTTAACGCCTGGGTCAAAGGTGTTTTCTGAAGATATGTAGCTCTCGCTAGGATGCCTCGGAACAAGATGAAATTTTTCCCAAAAGTTGATCATAAGGTCTTCTTGTGCCTTAACGTAAGGTTATGTTATTTAGTAGGATAAAAAAAATTCAAAATTTGAAAAACCGTGGCCCCAATATTGTCTCACGCCTTCCTTAAAACTTTCACATCTGCGCTTGTTCCCAGCTTTCGCAAATGCGGTCATTAGCTATGGCTTTAATTCAGGCGTTTAGTGGCTTAATGTAACAGTTCCTCAAGAGGTCGCCGTTAGCCAAACGAAACGCGCGGGAAAATAAACAAGTTTTACAGCTACAGTTCGGAGAGTGTTGCTCACTAGTTTAGTTTAAAAAATGAGAAAAAAATTCACTGTTAAATGTGTGCATTTAAAATAAAGATGCTTCTCGTAGTTTATTTACTGAAATGCAATGGAGAGTCATTACAAACGCGAGGTGTTAAAAAAAAAAATTACATGAAAAAAAAAAAATATATATATATGATATATATCATATAAAAAAAAAAAACAGAAAAAAATAACAATTGTATTACTTGATACCTTTTCCACACGATTGTCACTGAATCATATGAATGGTTCTGGTGACATATCAACCAATAAAAACCATGAATAATAGAAAGACAAAACAAAACATCGGATGTATGAGGATGAATGGGTCTCGATAATGTGACGTCACATTTTTCCACTATGTTGGAACCGATCGCGTCAGCCAGTTTCCTATCCAGTCTTTCTATAAAACTTGCCTGTGTTTTATTTTCGGCCGCGCGCGCGACAATGAGCTCGCGCACGCACCACGCTCGAAGACATTAGGAAAGGAATTATACATCACAATCAGAAACTACGTAATTTTTTTAAAGCCTAATCACAGCTAACGCAGTTTGTGTGAGGGAGATTTCGGAACGTTTACAGTGACTTTTTGATATTCCAAAGTTTTGTTAAGCACCATGAGTGTTAACCCAAGTAGAAAACGGAAACTTTCGGTTACTTCTAAATACGCGCCATCATCGCGTGGCCTGCAAGATGAAAACGATTGCGTGCCTGCCAAAGCCAGAAAACTCGCAGCTCCATCAAAGGTTAGTGTCTCACTTTGCTTAACGTTTTGAATCATTTTTCTTTGGTTATATCTCAGTGTGTTTGTATTGGATTTTAACAAGAGTGATCCAATTTACTTGTTTCTAGAAATTTCAGCCAAGCGCAATTGAGAAGTCCACCGCGGGCACGGTTTCAAAAAGGTTAGTGGTTTGGAATTTTCAACTTTTGGTGACTGCGAAATTCACTTTTAACATCGTGTTAAGTTTGTTTTATCATTTTTTTTCTTTCTATTAGCCTTAAAAGAGCCCACAGCGAGACTGAATTAGACACAGAGACACCACGGAAAAAGATCTTTTTGTCCGCACCTAACGTAAGTTTTTTTATATACTATAAGCGCACGTAAGGGTCCAAAAGTCAGACATCTCAAAATTGAAACTCAGCTTAATTATTAATCATTTCCTGTTTCCATCGTAAGTGAAGTTCAGTTATAGGCAGATTTATTAACAAAATGCATAATGTGGCCATGAAAGACTTAATTTGAGTCCGTGACTTACAGAAACATTAGCGCACTCAATAATTAAAAACTTCGACGCCTGCATGTGTTGTCGCCTAGGAAACCAATTTGACTTCAATCATAAGTAACCATAGTTACGTAAATGATCCTGGCGGCACTGAAATCATGAGAAACGTTTTGCCAACAAGGTTTCGAAACGATAAAAAAAAAAGAAAAACAGAGAAGTTCAATAAGAAATTGAACGCAGGACGAAAAAGTATATAATAGCCGTTGCTCCAGGGAAGTCAGAAAAATCTTTTAAAGTATTCTTGCTTCCTGGAAAACTCCGAAACAAAGCTTTTTCTATAGTTTAGCTACAATAAGGAAAAAAATTCTTGTGATGTTTTCTGGCGTAGCAAGACCCTTTACAATAACGATAAAAAATTGTCCCTAGGAAAAGAAAGAGGTTGCTGATGACAGGAAAGGAAATTCAGTCCCTGGAACTAGTGGAACGCAACAAGTGGCGACTAGCAACAAGGGAAATCGCCACAAAAAGACGCGAAGAGGTACTGATATATATATACTATTAAATTGTTTAAGACGAGTGTGGAAAAGCGAGGTCCCCTCGCGTCTAACTAATGAATCTTTTGACTTTTCAGGAAGGCGGAAACCCAAAGGTCTTGCGGCTTACGAGATGGGAGGATGTCTCGGTGCTGGAGGATTTGGACAAGTTTTCTCTGCTACGAGAAAGCGAGATAAGCTACCGGTAAGCAAAGAATTATCTTTAACACTTGGACAATTAAAAAAAAATTATCAAAAACAAAAAACGTATAAAACAAAACAAAACAAAACAAACAAACAAAATCAAAAAACGCTGTTACTCTCAAAGTCGATTATAGCGGAGAAGTAAGAGTTCTAAGTGAAGCGAGTCTGTGGATGAATTTTTTCTACTCGTTTTGATGGTAATTCACAGAACGTAATCTGGGATTCTTTGTTACGGAGTTGATTTTGACCACCTTTAGGAATGTAAAGATGTTCGGCAAAATAACTCGTTCGACACAAGCAAATGCTACGTGAACAGACGCCTTTCTAGTTTTAGGCTCTTTGTTTCATAGGATACGTGACGCATAATCTTTTGCGATTTGCGACTACACCCATGCTATATCTTTACGGTGTGGATTCCGTGTATTGTATTGCGCATGATCACAGAAACATTTTACTCAAGGCTCATTCTGCATGGTAGGATGACTCTCGGCTCCTCTGTGATCATGTGCTTAACAGAGAAAATGGCTGTTGCTTTCATGATCGAAGATGAAGACAAGCGACAAGTTAGTAAGCACCGTCAGATTTATTTTGTTTTGTCTAATTTCATTAAGGTGGCTATCAAATTTGTCAAGAAGGATAGAGTCAGGAATTTCAAAGAGGTAAGTTTAAGATTTAGCCATGATTCAGGAACGCTGATTTTCACTCACAAAAGTTCTTGCGGTCACCGGAAATCATTTAATTTCCTCGGTTTCGTTTAGAAGATTTGTTTGTTAAGATCATTATTGAAACAGTTCATTTAATGTTCCACACTTTTCTTATCCGAAATTAATATCTTATCTACATATCTAGCCGCGTTTTTTGAAAACGAACCTAATGAAATTTCAGCCATTTGAGTGAAAAAGGGCAAAAAGCAGGTCTTTTCCGCCCGAAAAGCTCCAAAGGAAAAGGAAATCGGGGAAAGAAAGAGCCAGGAGGAAGAAAGGAGAACAGAAAAAAGCAATGGCTGCACTCTTAGTTTTTAGCTGGCTTCTTTGGAGATTTTGGCCGTAAAATAGCTGTTTTGTGTGAGAGGTTTATTTGGCGGTTACGTTTTCAAAAATCCGGTTGAGTATATAACTGAATCAATAGAAGGAGATGCAGGCCAGCAATGAACAGTTTTCGTATGGACCCAAATACGACGGGGAATATCTATCGAATCCCTGTTTTAACGCCCATCGGGTATGAGACGGCAACACCGCGTTGGCTATCTGTCATTTCATATCTAAATAGTACGAGTGATTTATTTTATTTAATGTTTTTTTTTAATTTGTATTTCCCGGCATCATATAATCAGGCCCAAATATCATGGCGATTCCACTAAGCTTTTCAAAATTAACTCTTAAACTACTCCATATAAAATGTTTTTAGTACAGTATATATTACTGGATCATCCTCTTTATGGTCAAACTTAGTAGAAGAGGCTAAACTGATTACGAAAGGCGGCAAACATCATGGATAAATCAACAGTACTGCAGTTTACGTTGAAAACTCCGTGACGGTGCATGTTCCTTTGTTTTCTGTATCACAAATTGTACCTGAAAAAATAAGGCGACGTTTTTATTCAACAATAAGCTCAAAATGTTAGGAAAGCTATAGAGAATGCTAGAGAATGGAAACAGACTTTCTTAGATCTTTCTCCCTCTGTAGATCAATGGCAAGCAGTTCCCCGTTGAAGCTTACTACCAACGCCACATTTGTCATCCAAACATCATTCAGCTCCTGGACGTTTTCACTCACAAAGAAAATTTCGTTTATGTGCTCGAACGTCCCGAAGATTCTTCGGACCTGTTTGACATCATGGACGTCGATGACGGGATGCTCGAAGACGATGGAAGACGATTTTTTACGCAGATTCTTGATGCCACGATTCAGTGCGAGGAACAAGGTATCTTGCACAGAGATATCAAGCCAGAAAATATTATCATTGACTTGACCAACATGGATGCAAAGCTGACTGATTTTGGATTGGCTTGTGAAACTCAGGAAGAACCATTCAGGCGTTTTGTAGGTAAGAGTTGGGAAAAAAATAGTCCGTTCACTGTTCAATATATATTGTCTGTGTCATCTTTTGGCACGATTGATTCAAACGAGATCAATTGACTGACTTATCCAAGCCTTTGTGCAACAGCATCAAGCAGATAGATCAAATATGCAAGAGAGAAGCTTTCTCACCAAAGCTTCTTACTAACAGCTAGTACACAATATGTACTAACGTGAGTGTGGGAGTGCTCGAGAGATGAGATATCATCATTTGAGTTCTAGATCCTAACGAACGTAGAACAAACTTTATCGAAACACAGAAACCGATGATTAATTTTGTTCATTGCGCAAAAAGCTGATAATGACGTCACTCTTTCTCTCGATCAGTCCCTATGAGCTCATGCTCCTGATAATAACCTATCTGGCTCCCAATCGGACATCACTGTCCAACGATAACTTTATAGTCTTTTTTTTTTCTACTGCAAACTTATGAACACTCATGAAGGTTGAGAAAAAGTCTGATATATTCTCAATTTCAACTTTACAGGAACCCATCACTACTGTCCCCCAGAGTTCTTTTCGCATCACTGTTTCTTTGGTAACCAAGCCACTGTTTGGCAACTGGGCTTCTTGCTAAACGAAATGCTGTCCGGAGAGATGCCTTATGTCAAGCCTCGTATGGCCCTGTACATGCCTCCATCCGTTCCTAAATACCTTTCAAAAGGTAAGGACGTTTTTACGTACCAAGCAGTTTACGGTGCTTTGACTCTCACAATAAAACAAAACTTGAGCGCGGCTGGCTAACTTATTTTAATATTCCAACTAGACTGTCAACAGGCTGTCTTGAGAGGTATAGGTCCCTTGAGGCACTCTCATATGAAAGAGGCGGATACGATAGTCGGAAAACTGAAATTGAACCCCGAAAGGCGACAAGTTTGGACTTGGCTCAGGCTTTAATTATTCGGCCCCCATGAGACCAAACTTCAACACGGTCCTGTCTGACAGCGTTTGTTTCTTTTTATAAAGAACTTTTTATGCGTGAAACGCCAAGCGATACCTTTATTTGTAAAAATGTTGACCTTCCACCCTAAACACCCAAACTGAGATAAAAATTTGTAGTTTCTTACCCTAAGCAGGATAAAGAGCATCCCCGTCATGGGAGTTCTTACCTCTCCCGAATTAAGGATTAAGACGAAGAGAAGCTAGAATCGAAAGCCCACAAGTAGCTTCTACCAAAGATGTGTTACGATTGAAAAGCGTGTCGACAAAAATTAGGCTGTTACGTGCGAATCATTAATTAGATTAGCATTAGATTCGATCTCAGAATAAGATTTTTTCTGATTGGATGAAAGGGTAACATAAGCCATTTTAACCCATCAAAAGAAATCGTTAAAGGTAATACTTGCTTTATACTTTTAAGTACAAAGTCCAGTGAACCGTGCCGTGCTATATGAAATAGGCTTTAGTCGCAGAAAATCTGAGGCATAATTATTTGTCAGTATAAATGTTTCGCCCCATTTAACGGAGTGTGGCTTTCGGAATCCAGAAAAATTTTACAATTGGAATCTGGAATCCTGAGCTTTGGAATCCGGAATATAGCTCAAGGATTCCGGAATTATTAACCCCACTAACCACTGGAATCCAGAATCCAAGTCCCACTGAGAAAGATTGGAATCCAGTACTTGGAATCAGGAATACACTGCGCTGTGGAATCGAGAATCCAGGGCCGGGTTGTTAAAAGCTGGGTTAAAATAACCCAGAGTTAGTCTGAAATTTGAGTTCAGATATGAAGGCTTAAATATCAAATTCATTTTAATTCTCTTTGTCTATAATTTTTTGAGAGCATGCTATAAATTGAATAGAGAAAGTTATCGGAGAAATTGCTTTTTGAACAGAAGAGAAAGAAACACGGATTGATATTTAACCCAAGATTTGCGCTAATAGGCCTTCGAACAACTGGGCCCAAAACCGTCTTGGATTCTATTACATGCAGGCAAAATGTTTAAGTGTACCCCACTTGCTTTTTTATAAACCCATAAGTTATACTTGCAAAACCTGAAAGAAAAGAAAACCGATTATTTAATATCCTTTGTTTTCAGAGGCTCGCTCTTTGATTTCATGGATGCTTTCCAGGGATCCAGATCAGCGACCAACTTTGCAACAAATTAGAAACCATTCCTGGATTAATAAGTAAACACAGTTAATACCATTATCAGCTGGCGGCTGCTGGTATGCGCAACAATGGAGATAAAAGCTCTTGGACATAATTACAACAGACGACAGAACCTGGATTCAGCCGCCAATTACGAAATAATACCAGCAACTTTGCGCTTCAAGACACTTAATTAACCAACGTACCAGGCATAAAAACATCAGCAACTGTGTGCATCAGAAGCCATCTATGAATTTAACCAAGCATCAAGCCAGTATCAAAAGGAGATGGATAATGTACAAGTTGTGGTTTACTTTCATATTTGGCTTAAAATTTATTCACCTTTATGATGACAAGTTTCGGAAACCGAGGAGAGTAAAATTCAAACCAAAGATAAAATTGGACCACAGCATATCAGCGTGACAAACACACAAAAAAATGAAGAAAACTGTGGGACGGACCATATTGCTGGGAGTCGAAAAAAATATTATTGAAAGGGAAATTAAAATTTACTGAACAGATAAAAGAAATGTCAACGAGAAAAAAAAAAGCAGCTTGAAAATCCCCCCACCCCCCCCATGCTATAGATTTTCTGGATTATTATACTTTTCTGGGAAACTGCCCACCTACCCCTCACCCAAGCCAACATTTTGCCCTAAGTGAGAAGTAAGTGTTAATGTTGGCTGAGGGGTGGGGTAGGTAGGCCGTTTCCCATAAACGTGTAATGGTCGATTTGCTAATGATCCGCCCCCCCTAAGACCAGATCGACATTAACCCCAGAATCAGTTGAGTATGATTCTAGTTCTCAGTATTACATTAATACATGTCAACAGGGATAAAAAAGAAACAGTTGAACAGATAGGGGGACATACTGGATATACCAAAGACCAGTTCTCTGACGAAATGAATGTCTAAAAGATCAGATTTATCATAACACGAATGTTAGAGTTTCTAAAGTAACATTCGTTATAATTACAGTATTATAGAATGTTGGAGCTTATTATTTAAGTTTAAACATGTATTTGAGCCAAGAAATGTTAGTACTATCACATTAGCACGAAGAAAGGACACTGCAAATTAAACCTAAAGACCCTCAAAATAATGAACCCCCCGATTCTCTTCAGGGTTATAGTACATATGGGACAGGGCCCAGATACAGTATAGATATATTTTCAGTCTCTTGATTATCTGTTAGTCAAGGTATTAAGGTTCAACCGAACTCTATAAACAGTAGAAAATAAAAAAAAACAAACAACAAAAATTAAAAAATTAACAAAAAAATAAGAAAAAACAAAAAACACAAACAAAAAAACACAGTAAAAATAAACATTAAATTAAGTGATAACAATTAACAAAAGAGTTAGAAACACAACAGAACAAAAAAAAAAAAAAAAAAAAAAAAAAAAAAAAAAACAAAAAATAACAAAAAAAAAAAAAAAAAAAAAAAAACAAAAAACCCAAACAAGCAAAAAAAAAAAAAAAAAAAAAACGAAACAAAAAATACAAAATACTAATAAGCCACAACAAACAAAAAATTAAAAAAAGGAACAAAAAATAAAAGAGGAATTCATATTTTAATTGTATTTACATAAGGAGAGCTATCACCTTTTTAATTTTGTACATTTTGAAATAACTGTAAAGTACAGCTTTTCTTCGAAGCCGAAGTTCAGTAATTGTTTGATGTTATGTGAAAAATAATAAAACTATTTTTTGTAGAGAAAAACTGTTTATTCCTTTGTCTCAAAATAGCTTATAAATTTTATGATTTTCCCTAGTTCAACACTTTTGAAACAACGTGGTTATCTCGCGGGACCGGAATGTGACTAAAAATTAAAATGACATTTTTATTCCTTTATCCACAGTTGGGCGATGAATTACTGCATTCGCTCCCACAAAAAATATAGGGGCAAAAGTAAAGGACCAAAAAAGCTACTAACCTACAAGGCGTTGGCATCCTTATCACTAAATCATATCGTAACCTGCGATTTACAAGATAGCAAATGTTCATGTATGAGATCGGACCTTATCCAGTGTTGCAAGCGTTTCTGCGTTTTGAGTTCGTCGAGAAAACTGAGACGATAGCAAATAAGAGGAATGAAGGGCGAAGGGGGAGGCGAAGTGGAGTTTCCTCTTTGCCCCTTCCCTTCCCCCTTGGTCTATTTATCCTCGCTCCATTTTCGCGCCAATTAAGGCCCGGTTCAGACGCTCCTCCACTAATGTACTGAACCTAACTGACGAATGAAGTGCGGAAAAAGAGCGGCGTCTGAATCAATTTGGTACGGCAGTTTCACTTTGGTGCGGCAAAAGCGTTAAGTTCGACAGTATGTCGAACTTGACATAGGTTCGACACACAGTGCGCTGTCTGAATCAGATGTCGCGCCAGTGTCGCTACAAAGTCGAACTTATTCAATTAGGTTCGGCAAATGAAAAGTAAGGCGTCTGAACCAGGCCTAACTCGATCTGAAACCCTTGCCAGACAGGCTAATGAAACACTGAATCAGATGTCGCGCCAGTGTCGCTACAAAGTCGAACTTATTCAATTAGGTTCGGCAAATGAAAAGTAAGGCGTCTGAACCAGGCCTAACTCGATCTGAAACCCTTGCCAGACAGGCTAATGAAACCTTTTAATCTTTACACTATACCATTAGATTGATTACCAAGCGCTCAAAAGGGGATTTTGGAATGCCTGTGTGAAACCGTAAGATTAAGACATAACGGGAAGACAAAACATTATAGCTTATTTTGTTTTCTGCCTATGAATCTGAGATTAATAATAACTGAATGACAGCTGTTATAGATCTTTACTCTATAGTGATGACACTTCAATTCTATATCCGGGCGATTTGTTCCTGCGGGTCGTCCGGATAGTCCTAGCCTGTACACAGACGTTGTTTCATTTTTCTCTTCCTTCTTTTCGAAAACATCTGCGTCTATTTTCTTCTTTCCCCGCCGCTACCCCCTTACGCTGGCGGTCAGTAAATCCCTCCGCGGTTTTTTATCACACGCGCTTGACGGACTTGAGAAAATTATAGGGGGTCTGTGAACAGGGTAGGATAGTTCTACCTGGCATTATTATATTTTGGGCGATCAGGAGGATCTCGGAGTCACAGCGTGGAGCACGCCCGAGCCACACGAGAGGAAGAAAGAGAAAACAATGTCTCGAACTTTCCGTTTGTTCCTCCAAATCCACCCTCGCCTGCGTGGCAGGCGTTCGAAAGGGAAGGGGAAGGGAAACGACGCGAGACCACGAGCGAGGGAGGAGGGAGGACGGAGGAGGGGAATTTCCATTCCTTTCTCCCTCGCGCGCCCAAATTGCCCCTTCATCTTTTAACGCCTGCCACGCAGGCTAAACCCGCCCGAGTACCCCTACAACGCAGCCTGTTTTGGAGGCTTAATTATTAGGTGTTCTCATATGATCCTCTCAATTGACTCGCTCGATAGAGATACAAGGACACCATGCTGGAGAGTACTCACCATACCCTGGCTTGTCACCAACCTATTTTCATCTGCAGCCTAAAATAAATTAACAAGATATAGACAGATAGTTTTATTTATGAAGGAAAAGTTTAAACTGATTCGAGCCGTTTGCTTTTTAAGAAAGGTTTAAACAAAAATTAAAGCCACAGCTCATTCTTTGGTAGCCTTATTTTGGAAAATATCGACGTTTGTACGCAGGCTAAATTTCATTTAAATTGCAAATAATTTCGCTCATTATCATTCAATTATTCTTCTTGTTTTCTCACGTTTAGCGCCTGAAAAAAACATGGCGAACGACTGTGGAGCAATGTGCATTTTATTGCTTGCGAACCAAGTAATATTCTCCAGTTTAGGGTAGAAAACTCAAAAGCCGACGTCGACAATCAATCGAGTGTTAGAGAAACGAACGTTAGGCCGGTCTCAGAACCTTGCACAAGAATGGTGGATGGTTATCAACAAGACGCCGCGGTGTTCAACTTCAAGATAATTTGAACCCGAGCCAGAGGTAAGCAAGATTATACGCCAGCTTCACTTTAAGCTCAGGGCTCATTAGACTAAACTTAGCCTTAGGAAAAAAAAAGTTTATGAAGCAGGAAGCGTGGATTAACAGCAAGGCTGCCAATAACTTTTGGAAAGCAGTTGAACATTTTAGGTATGAATAAATTGCTTTAGCTTAACATTATTTTGAATAAAATGACTAGCACCGGAGATCTAGGCCATGATCGTTTTTTTTTCCATTCTCGATGAATACTGGTAAAGGGATTATTTACTTAGTTTGCCGCTGGCTAAATATTTTGTTAATATTTACCATTATTTTAAGAACATTTATTATTTTACAAATTTTTATAAGTACTGTTATAGTCACCAAAATGCCGGATCAACTGCAAACGCTATCCAAAATATTTTGTTTTGACTTTATGTCAAGAAGAGAAAAGTTTCTGAATGACATATTCATATGGCGACGAACATGTTGTGCATGCTAAATTTATTTATTTTTGCACACATTTTACTTTCGTTTTGATTTTAGTTGGGTGTTGCAATGTATGATAACGAGCTGACAACAACGAGAAGAAACATTAAGACAAAAAATAAGATAAAATGAAAGAACGTATTTTTATAGCACCGTCTGCACCAGAACGAAACTCCCAGAACATTACCTTAATTTACATCAAGTAAACAGACAGAAAAACTCAGTAACAATTTGTAGTTTTCAGTGCTGTTTTTATCCCGGGGACTGGGTGGGGAGGGGGCTACTCTTGACAAAGGTTTAATTCATACGGGGAGGTTCCGGCCCGAGATGGGCCTAACCCCTTACCCTTTTTTTATTATATAGACACAAATGTTTTACTGGAAAATATACCACTCGTAAAATTCATAAAAAACTACATCCGGGAACCGAGTGGTTTATTTTCCACAATCTCACACTTGAGTTTATCGATGACGTATACGTTCAATTGAAAAATGGTACCCCTTTCACATACCTATATTGCTTAAACAGTAGTCTTTTTGCCTTTTTTTGCAACGTTTAATAAAACTAAAATGAGATAGTTATGGCGTGTCTTATT